AAAGATCGACCTGAATTTTAGAGAATGGCCTAAGAGCAGTATTGTCCTGAAGTGCATAAAGTTTTTCTTCTTTTTGGTTCTTATATGACATCTAATAATACTAATACTAATAATAATAATTATAATAATAATAAAGCAACACAAAAACCTAATCTAATTGTGTATAATCACCCTGAAAATTAGACATGTTTTTTCAAATATTAATTAAATTAACGCTGGAATTAAGAAAAGAAAACCTGAAATGAAAAAAGCTTCCGTATTAGAAATATATAGTTTTTAAATATGATGAGTTGCCCTTGTGGTGATTTGCTGAAATACCTGTCGATTTTTGTTCTGAGTGTATGTTTTTAATTCAATCGGGGCGCTTGCAATTTGATGAAGAAACATTCCTTATCGGGTCATTGTCATTGAAGGACTCTCTTTCAGCTATTTGAGCTGTTTTTCAAGTTAAGTTCGTTTGTTGTTCAAACTAAAGACAACTCTGAGCTGACGGGGCACGTGTAGTTGCAGTAAATTTCGTTATTATTATTAGCCCAAGTCCCTTACACAAACAAGCACATCCACACACTCACACACACATACACACTAGTCGTAATGTAGAGATCGAGTTCGCTTAAATAGCCAACGGCCCTTGTGCAGGTAATTGAGCTTTAACATGCTCAAAGCTTATTAATACTTGTATGTACGTGGGTATTCTATACTTGTGTGTGTGTGTTTATATATATATATGTATATATGTGTGTGTATGTGTGTGTGTGCTTGTGAACTTTATGGAGCTTTGTTTTGTTTGACTTGCGTTTATTTTTGTTCAATGCTATCGTTGTTCCTCTGCCCAGTTGGGTTTATTTATGTGACAAAATTATCCCACTAGACACAGGCTGACAGAATAAATCCATTTAATAATCGTTAGTTTGCCCGCAAGCAGACACGATAAAGATTTTACGCTAGTTGTTTTAATTAAATTGTAAAATTAATAAATACCGCTCGCTATTAACGTATTAATTCTTATGAAATATGCATTACAAATAAATTTTACGGCACGTTAAAGTTTTTTGTTATCTTAATTTGGATATATTTTGCATATGCTGGGTGTAAAACATTCTTAACTTTATATGATACGTGAGCTGCGTTTACGCAAAAGTTATGCGAAAGCAGCGCAAAAAGCAAAATCCAAAAATCCAAAAATAAGAAAATACCACGTGCTCAGCTCTGTACACAAGAATGTGGTCATTTCATGTAACGCTTAGTTGTTGTTCTTGTTGTTGTTGTTGTGGCTTATGGAAATCTCTCAGATCTTTAAGATTTATTGACAGCAAGCGGAAATGGGCACACACACACACACATACGCACACACAAGCACACAATGATGTGTATGTATATATATATATATATATGTATATATCTACACGTGTATCGCTCGATGTGGCTGTTGTGTGGTGAGCTACCTTTTTTTTTACGCGCAATTAACCCAGTTACAAGTTCGACATGCCGCAAAGCAAACACATCGACTCACACACACACATACACACAGACACACAGACACAACACACACATACACGTCCTGCATTTATCATAATTACTTCCCATAATATTTTGCGAACAACCCTGCCAAAATATGGCTGAAAATGCTGATGAATGCTCAGTGGCACAGTGTTGCCACACAGACACAGCCACAGCCCTTTAAATAGACGTTAATTTCTCACACAGACACACACACACACAAAAAAAAAGAAAATGCGAAAAAGTGAAAAGGGCTGACTGCTTAATGTTTTAATATGCCTTCAGCAACTATTAAGTGGAGTCCGCATTAAGTGGCAAGCACATATAAAACATCAATTATTTATAAATAAAAGCGTAGCTCACTTAAGCCCAAAGTATTTTATAGCATACTTTTGAGCGCTGCGATACAAGAACAAAAGCCAAAAGCCAACAACAACAACAACAATGTGTGAATTGCAGTTTTGGCATTATGCATATTAAGCAATCCGATAAGCCATAAATAGCAATCACAGATTGAACTAGCCAACATGCAAATGCCAGGCCAACAGAGTACCACATAAATATATATGAACTTAACTCAAGAAATATGCATACTTATATATTTCTGTACAGAGATGTATTTACTTTTCAAATCAAAGAAAACCAGGCGACCAATGACAACGAGAAAAAAAAAACAAAACAGAAGAAAGATGAAAAGAAAACAATGCACAGTGGAGCCAAACAGAAGTTACGCAAAAAAAAGGAAGCAGTTTGCTTAAGCAATGGACGTGTCCAAGGAATAGTTCAAGTAATTCTATTTGCAGCTCAGTTATGTGTGTGGCAATCCAATAAGCCATCGATTGACAATCGATTAGTGTTGCTTTTAATTATTGACACTTGTTTAGAAAATGACTTGGGCTGGCCACACTGTGCGACGCGTCGACTTGCACAGGCAGCAGAGAAACAAAAAAATTCCAAAAATGTCACAGTGCGCACATGAAAAATGGCCTTGGGACAGCGCCAAACGCCTGGCGACGCCAGTCAGCACACTGTGTATGTTTGTGTGTGTGTGTGTGTGTGTGAGTGTGTGTGTGCATTGCTGTTGGCTTTGCAAAGCAAGGTCATGAGTAAACACGCTGGAGCATGCTGTTTATTCTACAACAAAGCCAAGCGAAGCACAAAAAAGAAGAAGAAGAAGCAAACTCACATTTACAATTTATTGTCAAATATACAAATGCACTTACAAACATATATAAATATATATAAATGTATATATTTATATGTATGTGCTTAGAAGCATATAGAAACTAGATGCTCCTTATTGATAAACTTGCACATATGTCTGTACATACATACTTATACTTAGTTAGATATGGAGAGCGATTGCTTGCCAATTTGTTGTGGAAGCACATGCAAATGTGTATCCATAAATCAAAAAGGACATTATTGGCTGCTTGTTGGAGCTAAGCACTATTGCTTGCCATTATGGACAAATGTATCTTTCGGATTCGGAATGACCGACAACAAGTCGATGTCAGATGACTTTGACACATTTCATCTTCTTAAATCAGTTTGTGTAATGACAACAATAAGCTGGTATTTTCACATGTGCGACGATTTTTTCAACGATTATTTAATTTAAAAAGTCGGTAAAATGGGAAGCTTTATTAAAACAAGTTTAATAAACTCCCTCTTGGTTTATTAATTAAATAATATATGTATTTCTTCTATATAATAAAAGAATTATAAATTATGTATAAGCTTTGTGGTCCTTCAGAAAAATTTGTTTTTTAGCTCAAGTTTTATATTTTTCATGGCTCAAGAATGGTCAGAAATAAATGCCTTTCTATAATAGTAGTATAAATATGTAAATACTATTTACATGTAATCTTAAATGCTGACATATTTTGTGATAACTGAATTTTAATATCAGAAATCTTCAAACTACATTTTAATTCTTCAAGCAATGCAATAAAACTAGAAATAACTTCAATCTATAAGGGTATGTTTTAATCGACGTACCCAGTTATATGATATAGTGGTCTGATAAGATCATCTCCGAAGGATATACACCAAGTTTCATCAAGATTGCTTTATATAAGTCTGCAAATTTGGATGGATGATGAGACTGATGTTGATCACGAATATATTTATCTTAGAGACGTCTCTGCTAATACGTTGTAAATCTGAAAACCAAATTAAAATGCCATTTACAGGCATGTTCATTATTTTTTGAAAGAATCGAATCAATACTTGTTGTTTTAACGACAAATTATGGCTTATTAGCATATTAGAACAAAGTAGTCAATTTATGGCTGCACATTAATTATTGCTATTGCAAATCGGATAACTCTGTCAACAACACGCAATTCAATGCAGAACTAACCTACTAAATAACTGACAAAGTGTGAGAGGACTGCAATTTTCGTCTATGAATTTCTAAGCGCCGCTTTCCGTTGTTCTTGTGCCCCAGTGCATATGTAAATGTGTGTGATCAAAATGAGGCTGGGGTAAGAATGGGTAGAGGGGGGATTGGCGGTTGGCGAATAGAGGGGAACTCGAGTGTGGTTTTGGCTCAAAGTTGGCATATGCACATGAATAATGAATAATGAAGCATGGTGTGTAAGTTTTGTCTATTGATTTCGAAACAAAAAATTCCAAGCGCGGCGCCAGCAAACAAAGGATGCCAACCAGTTAGCAGCAACCAGCAAATGGGCCCTAGTTTGATGCCTGTGTGTGTGTGTCTGTCTGTGTGTGTGTGTGTGTGTGTGTGTGTGTGTATGTGACTGTGTGTGAAACATATGGCACTGGAGATTAAGCCATTGTTTGCAATGGGAACCGCGTGGCTGAGCTGCGGCTTAACGGTTGCGTTGCAATGAGCAAGTGCAAACAAAACAAGCAAGCATGTTTTATATAGAGAGCTCGACTTCAAGATACCCTGTACTGCAACACTTACCACAAGCTTTTATCGTAAGTCTTAGTTATTCAAAACAATAATTTGATCTAATCATTTATTTCTTTTCACAACTAAATGAGTTTCTCATAATTAATATCAAACTCTTTATGAACAATATTATGACTAGGTATATATATATATACATATATATATATATATATATATCGTTAAAATTGTGTGTTTTATTGTTATCGAACATCGATTTATATCGATATTACCAATACGATTAAAGCGAGCAATGAAATGAAACAAACTTGTGCTGCATCTGGTAAATAAGAGCTTTACTCAAAGCGACTTTTGCTGTTCATCCTGATACCAAACATTATGTGGAGTCGAAGATGCTTCGTTCTCATTTTGATTTTAAGCTATTGCATAACTTTATCATACCCTTTATACCCCTTTGGCAATGGGTTCTTTGGATAAAAGCTGAGCATGTATTTGTATGTATGTGTAATAAAGGGGTTATGGCTAAGAAGAGGGCTTATATCCCATTTACAGTTGCTGAACTACCAACTAACAGAGTCCCATTTTGCGTCTCTCTCTCTCTGTCTCTCTGGGTTTGCAGCACCACAGCCCCGACAGTGTAATGCGCCTTGGGGGTAGTGGTATACCATTCGACGGTGACCCCCTGACAATGAGCGCAGCTGGCAATGATTATGCCGAATTATGCGATCTTGGACCCTCACGTTGGAGTGCACGCGCCTATGGTTATCATGCAGCAAATGCGGCCGGCATTGGCATTGGTGGCGCCACACAATCATCATCGAGCGTGCCGACGGGCGGCTCAGCTGGCCTCAGCGCTCATCATTTACGGAGCAGCGCAGCAGCGCCAAACAGTTACGAGGCCGAGGACATTGGCCTGGCCTTTGGCATGATCAGTCCGCCACCGGGGAGCGTTCACGGTCTCGGCCATTACGGCGGCAGTGCCGGCGGTATTGGATCCCGTGTCGGCAACAGCACCAGTTCGCTGCGAGCAGGCGGCGTCGGCGTCGGCGGCGGAGGAATCGGTAGCGTCGGTGGTGTCGGAGGCGGTCGATCCGGCCTCTACTATTCGCCACCGGGCACATCGTACACAATCATTGAGCGTCCCCACTCGCCGCATTACTACTTCAATTCGGCTGGGGTGCCGACCAAAGGTGGTTCGTTGCCGGGCCGCGGTTCGGCATATCTCAGCTCCTCACCATCCAGTCACATGGCGGCCGGTACGGCTGGTACACTGCCCACGTCAACGGCGGCCAGTGGGCGGCATGCCTCCTCCTCCATGGGCAATGGCAATAAGAAGCGACCAATATCACCGGAGCAGGTGTTGCGCATGTTCGGCGCCACACAGTCGTCCTCAGTTCCTACGAGTAGCTATCACTACAGCAACGGCGGCACCCGGGATAGGGATCGCACAGGGCGACGCAGTCCGGCCAGCAGTCCGCCCTCAACGACGCATCAGGTAAATCCAACAAAATTCCATTATCTTTAGCTTAATTTATTATTTATTTATAAAAATCAGTTAGACACAAATAATATTATAAATAATAACAGAAGTGAGAGCATTAGTGACTAAATTTTCTGCTTTTGGTTTAATTAATATTCGTTAGGATAATATTTTCAAAATTATTTTAATTTTATTTTTTATTTATTTATTTATCAGTTTAAAATATAGCAAAATTTGTTTAACTACATTTTGTTTGTTGAAGTTGTAAGTTGACAATTCGTATGTTTATTTGCAGATCTATCGGGATCGCGAACGAGATCGCGACCGGAGTGTGCCCAACATCCATGAACTGACGACGCGCACTGTTTCCATGTCGCGTGATCAGCAGATCGATCATGGCTTCGGCATATGCGTCAAAGGAGGCAAAGACTCAGGTGGGTGCCAGCCAGCCAGGTTAACAGGCGAAACAAATGCGCCTCGAAGTAGGCTACGGAAAATTGACTCTGTCATCAAATCTAATTTGCTTCGAGAGCTGAACTAGGCAATTTTCAGAGAATTTACTTGTACTTGTTTGTAGCAAATTGCATACACTTATGTAGTTATATGTATATGTATCTGTATATGTATATGTATTGATGTAGACACTCAGTGCTCAACTCGATTGAGTTGGGAGCTCAATTGGCTCTTGTCTATCAGATGTTTGGCGTTGTGTGAAACCTCAATTTGGCCTGCATTTATACTACTATTTCATGCAATTTAATTTTCAACCTGATGCCTGTTGTCGGCAGGGTTTTATTTTTACTTATTTGTGTTCGTTCGCCAGCAGCTTTGACATTTCGAAGAGCGCATTTTGCAGCTGGCCACCTTTCGATGGCCACCATGACTCTATATCGGTCTCTGTCCACACCTTGCTATTCCCGCCGCACACTTCCAGCGCTTTCATTCACGGTCAGGCATTTTATTTTTAGCTCACATTGTGCGATAGCTTTAAAATCGATATACAAAAATCTATTGAATCGGCTCTCATTCCACCTACCAATTTATCGTATCCATGGACTTTGTCGATGTGCCCGCTGCCTGCATTTCGGCACACGTTCTTTTTAAATTAAACATAAAATGGCTGCCACACATACACACACACACACACACGCACACACACACGCTCGCGATTGGCGTGGCTTAATGAAAAAGGCTTACAAAAAGAGGCCAAACAGTGGGCGGTGTTTGGGGCGTGGTGTGTGTGTGTGTCTATTATTAAAAGTTTAATACGCGTCGTTTGCTAATTGATTTGGTTGTTTTTTTTTTTTATTATTTATTTTTATTTTTATGTTTTCATGTTTATCGACAGGCTTAGGTGTTTACATCTCACGCATCGAGGAGAACTCGGTGGCGGAGCGCGCCGGCCTGCGACCCGGTGATACAATCCTAGAGGTGAACGGCACGCCATTCACCTCAATCAATCACGAGGAGGCGCTTAAGGTGAGCCAAACTGCATATGTTTCTATACTATTACTACTACTACTACTACTACTATCTTTTGATCATTTTTCAGTAGCTAATGTTTCTTATTAATATCAATAAATCGATTAGAGCACATTACGAGAAGCAGAGAGAGAGATCGAGTGAAAGAGAGCAAAGATATATATATAATAAAATCAAGCAAGGACAAGAAATCGATATGAAGCAAGTCCTTTAGCCTGGCAACGTTTCACAACACAATTTTATCATCATTTCGAACATTTATTTAATGGATCATCTAACGATTGTCACTGCGCAAAAAACGATATGATACATTATTCAAGCATCTCCTTCAGCCGGTTGAGAGGCTTCAGCCACATGAAAATCGTCCTTTTCAAAAAGATAATTTAATTGTACACTTAATTGATTTTTAATGCGATTTAGCTCGATAGGCTGCTTGTTTGCCTGTTAATAGTTGCGATAAGAGCTGCGCTGCATTTGAGCAGTAGGCAGTAGGCAGTAGGCCATCGCCTTTTATGTGCGCCACTTGGCAAAGTACCTAAAACGACCACCGCCCCCCTCCTCTCTGTCCAACCCGACAAGCAACAGCCAACCGAACAACCGAACAGCAGCTAGACAACGAAAGTCAATTTATTGTGGAATATTTTATGTGACACGTTATGATAGTCCATATAATTCTTCATATTCCGCTCGTGGCTGGTTGCTCGAGCTCGTTTGCTCTCTATCGAATGCAAAGGACATTAGGCTGAGATTACGTGTCAAACGGGGAGGCCAGGATGTGTTTGGAAGGGTGCAAGGATACTCCCTTGTCGCACATGTTTCGTTTTTCGTTTTTCGTTTTCCGCAAATCTGTTTGGCAATACTTGTGAATTACATAACAGATCTTGTTCCCTATCTCTCTCCTCATCCACTCGTTCTATGCTCTAAATGGCTTTCCGTAGTTTTTTGATATTGTGCACTTTACATATGATAAAACTTGAAACATTTTGTCTAATTATGACTATAAACGAAAAAGTCAAATACATACATTCAACAAAAATAACACTAATACAAATATACACTGAGAAAAAATTGGCAATAGATTAGTCACATTAAATTCACATTTTTTTCTATTAAGTATTTTTGAAAACATTTATATTTGATTTATTCCTATAACTATGCTTAGATTTGTTATTATTATACTTCGTTGGTTGTTGATTCATTTCAATTGATATTTTCACACGATGAACTCGGATTGCTTCTAAAGAGAATAATGGTCGGTTGCCACACAATTTTCTTATAACTAATGAATATTTTCAAATCAATACGATTTATGGCGCCCTTATGAATATTCAATAATTTGAATATGGACAGAGACCCATAAAGCTAAAACCCATTTATGAAAGTGACAAGGGATCAACAAAAATTTGGCAAACAGCTTTTAGAGCTTTGTATCCTAAATTACAGTTAGCCTAAAGCCCAACCGCAATGCCAACAAAAACCCCGATGTGGCCAACGATGAGAGCCAGCTGTGTCCAAGTACGACACTCTATGAGGTTTTTGAGGGGCAACCGACACTTGCGCACGTCCCAAACAATTTGCACAACTTGTCTTTTATGACTTTATGGTCAAAAACAATTAAAATAATGGCAACTAAACTGAAAATTCTCAATTCTTAAAACGCTGTGCAAAACCGCAACAAAGCACATAATATATATATATATGTGTATATATATAAAGTGAGAGATGTTCACATGTTCACAGAGATTCGAAGTATTTGTTTTTGTTTGAATTGATTTAAATTTGTTTGTATTTTCTTTTATATTTGTTATATTTTTTATGTTTTTTTTTTTTTTGTTTCAAATTATTGCCACCCGCTTTTGGTTTTAGTTTGACGTTTTTTCTCTCTATCTCTTTGGCTCCTTTCTATCGTTCGTTCGTTTTGCTTGCATCTTCCGTCTCTCTTTTGTGTCTCTTCTATTGCCACATTTTTTCTTAACGCAGAGATGTGTGCAGATATTGAAATCGTCACGTCAAATCAGTATGACGGTGCGAGCGCCGCCCACGCTGAACTCGACGGCACCGTTGCACGGTTTTGGGCCACCTTCGCGGGATCCGATGTACGCATCGATGGCACCCCTACTACCACAGTCTGCAGCGGCCCAGGCAGCAGCAGCAGCAGCCGGCGGCGTTGGATCTGGTTTGCCCTTTCGCCAGACCTGCTCCTGGATGGATCGACACGGCCGTCCGGCCTCACCGCCCATGGAGTATGGCGGCAGACGGAACGAGCGCAGGGATCGGTAAGCTATAGACATACATATACATATATATATACATAAATAGTATATATCAATGCCCATCTTCTAGTGTACGTCGTGTCGAGCTGCTCATTGAGCCCGGCCAATCGCTGGGCTTGATGATACGCGGCGGCGTTGAATACGGCCTGGGCATCTTTGTCACGGGCGTCGACAAGGAGAGCGTCGCAGATCGTTCCGGTTTGATGATTGGCGACGAAATACTGGAGGTCAATGGCCAGTCGTTCCTCGATGTGACCCACGACGAGGCCGTTGGTCAGCTGAAGTATCACAAGCGCATGTCGCTGGTGATACGTGACGTGGGCAAAGTGCCGCATTCCTGCACATCCATTGAAATGGAGCCCTGGGATGCGTACAGTCCAACGGGCACGAGGTAATCTATTTTATTACAAAGTGCACTAAAGAGCAATGGAAAATTTAATAAATTAAAATTGCCAGAGATTATTTGATTTAAATTCGTTTTTTTTCAACCCCTGCTTGAGTAAATTTCGTTTAAGTATAAACTTTATGTTTTAAATGAATCAAATGAGAGCTGAGAGCCAATTATGAGAGTGAAGATTTATTACTTTATATTTCTAAGTAGTTGAAAATACGATTATTGTAATTTATTATTATTGTATCTTTAAATCAAATAAAGAGCATTATTATTTGTTAAAACTTATCATTATTAATGGAATCTAAATATGTCGTTTGGTGTCTCCAATATTCCAATATACAAAGTGATCTCAAACCTATCGGAATTCGTCTTTAATGAGATATTTACTGAGCCCAACTAGTCTATCGGAGTATAAATAATAAAAATACTTGACATATTTCAATTATAAAAAGAGCTCCCAAACAAAAATACTATTACAGAACTCATAATTAAATTACCATAAATGTATGCTCTACTTTTTTCTGTTTATACTGAATATCGTTATCAAATATGATCAATCTATATTTTATTCGCAGAGCACGCCGGAAAGGTCAAATTGCGACCATGGTGGAGGAGAAGGCGCGCTCGCTGCTGCCACGTCATCATTTTGCAAGTCTTTCGTATTATATTGCCGAATATAGTGTGAAAGCAATGACCATAGATGCCTTTGTTGCCGTCTTATTAGAGATGTTAGATACGTACGAAAAGGTAAATGTTGATCTACATACTGAATGCTGAGAACCCCACTCATTTATCAAAACTTTTTATGGTTTCTTTATCCTTAGCACACGCTAGTGACGGAAATTCGAGAGCTCGTCTTTCCGGAGGATCGTACACGATACGATGAGCTTGTGTATCGCCGAGAACGCGATCCATATAGCGTGGATAGTAGGCATAGGGTAAGTGTGAATAATCATATATTATTTGGCATTTGATTAATGCCCCATTGCTATTGGCTCTTTGCAGCGTAAAGGAGACCCCTCACGTGATTTGCCGGTAAGCTTTTTAGAAGATTTGTTGTACGACACTGACACAATATATACCTAGAAACATCTATGTATGTACTTAACTAACAACTAACTAACTCGCTGCGCATGTTAAACTACTACAACAGAATACTTGACTAGTTTCTAGCATAATAATCGTTTAGTAAACAAATACTTGAATACTCTTTTTTAAACAACATTTATATATATATATATACATATATAAGTACTATGTGTCTTTTGGATTCTGTTTCCCTTCCCCAATCTCTAATGTGTTGTTGTTAATTGTTGTCGCTGTTGTTGTAATTTTTAGTTTAATTTTTACTAATTTCTATATTTATATATATATACTAAGTACTTAAAACACACTGCAAATACTAAATACAAAACACTTGTCAGATAAAGCAAAACTTGTAGTTTAATTGTTGTATGAGTACGAAAACGAAAACGAAATATTGTTTGTCTATTTGTGTTAATCATATTATGCTTTATAGTCATTTGATTGCTGCATGTTCTTCAATTTGAGAAGCTTTTTGAAACTCGCTTAATTCGATTCGGCTTTAGACATTGTTTCCGTTGCTCTTTGACAGAGTGAACACAAAAATGAGAACCAAAACGAATGTCAATTTTTACTTTTCAAATGAAAACAAAAATCAAAACTAAAACATAAAAAAAAACGATATACAAAAATTAATTAAAGCAGTTTTTGTAGTTGCACAAATTCTTTTTCTTCTAGGCATAAGTAGCAAGTACAGTTGCTTCTGTGGAAGCTGTAACTGTCTTTCGCTCAAATTATCGATAACATAATATATCGATAAAAACGTCATTGCGTTTAGGTTTAGACCGTTAAGCAAACATAATTAATTGTAAAATATGAAATTGAAACATGTATGATCTGATAAGAACCATATTTATAATAACTATATATATATAGTAACTTTGCCACACAAAGCGCACTTAAGCCAAACAAAAACAGCAGTCACCGATATAACTCACCCAAAACTATGCTTAATACAAGAACTAAGCACTACTCGACTACAAAGAGAACAATACAAGTATATATAAAATCAATTCAAATACGTGAAACAACAAATGCACTGATCACCACAAAATGATATCACTATATATATTCGACTCTCTCCAATCCTACGAACCTCTCTGTTCCACACAGTCTGACTATGCTCTATGCTCCGTAGATGGGCCCTATAACTCTATTCAGGACTATCGTAGCCCCCCCAGTCTTTCATATTTCGCTCTCTCTGTCTCTATCGCTCACCATCATCCTCACCATCACTATATCACTGTCACACTCACTCACTCACTCACTCTCTGTCTCTCACACACTCTCTGTGTCTGTCTCTGAATCGTATGCAAAAACAAAGTTCGTTCCATTCCATTCCCAACAGGTAACTGCTGACGATATGGAAGTAAGCGCCGCCACTGGACGCAGTCCCTCATCGGACTCGGGGCTGGGCATGACCGTAACGGATATACATAAACGGTACCTAAAACACTGAGCACCCACCTAACCAATTAGACTCATAACCCATAACAACAAGAACAACAACTACAACAACCAAGAACTGACCTTTGCGTATCTATCTGTATCTATCTGTATTCTGTGTTCTGTATTCGTTAACCCGTTGATAGACCCGCACTACAGTTGCCCTATCGGCCCATGTCGGCGGGACCAATACTGCATCGCTCACAGCATTATCAGCCAACAGCAAGCAACCAATCATCATCACCGACACCACCACCATCACAACAACAACAACTACAACAACAACAACAACAACATTATCCACCACCACCACCACTACATACCTCATTGCGTCATCTGGGTGGCCCTGGTGGCGTCGTTGGAAATGTGCGTCATCACCATCAACAACAGCAGTTGGGACCAAATCAATACAAACTCAAACAAGCCAAAGACAATCAGCAACAGGTCAGGAATTTGCGTGAACCGTGAAGCGTTTTAGAGTCGTTTGGCACACCACTTAGCTCTGTCACTATCTCAACCTCTTGCCTGGCTCTGTTTCCGCTAAAGACTTTCCAGAACTATCCAAACAGATTTTCAATTAGTTTAATCAATATATATATATATATATCTAGAAATACAATCGAAAATCGTTTATGTTTCCCTTCATATTGGAAATGATTAGAAAGAAAAGTTTTCAAATTGGAACAAAAATTCCAAAAATCAAAACTAACCAAAAATATTTTGATGCTAAAAAACAAAAAAATTATTGAAAAATTTTGAATAGAGCAAAAATTGGTTTTCTGTTTTTTAAGTTTTTCTTAAAATATATATTATATTTTCTTATACTATTCACTAGAATCTATCTATTTGTCTTTTCGATTTGTGTTTGATCGAACTCAGATCTGGTCATGTGAATCTCTTGTCTTTTTGTTCATTCTATTCTAACTTAACTTATTTTATAGTGCATATAAGAAAAATTGACATTCGGGTCTAAATCGGCGCTTCGTTTTGAGCCGTTTCTATTGTGTGTGTTTATTGTCTCTTGTCGCGTGTTTTTCTGTTTTGTTCCATTCATTTGAATTTTCTATCTTTCACGTATGTACTCTGTTTTTGATTTTAATGGAAATAATGTTTTGTGTATGTCTAATCTTTCTACACACTCTTTAATGTTGTTTAGTTTTTGTGTTGACTTTTTTCGTTTAACTGTTGTCTAATTGGCTACTAACTGTAGTAATTTAATTGAGCACATCTAATGCTCCAAACATGAAATTGGTTTCAGAAATTATTGCCAACAAGCAAGCAGTAAAAAAAGAACTCAAAAACTTTTTCTCGCTTTTCGTCTTTTTTTGTTTTACCCGGCTTAGGAATACGGCTGTGATGAGCATAGAACTCGCCGGGGCAGCGAAACCCTATTACCGGAATATGACCAAGATGCGGTGAGTAAGCAAAAGAGTTTGTTATTTTTTTCCGTTTTTGGGATATGCGTCGGTTACTCTATGTGTGAGATACTTACTTACGATACAGAGGCATTGAGAGCCTAGTTGTGTTAAGGACTTGTTGCGACTTGTCAGTCATGTCCAAAACTGCATTAATTTCTATCATGCCATATTGACATTGTCATTGCCATTGACAGCACACAGAATTTATGAATCTATGCCATACTCACATTAAATTTCCTTAAAAGCATATATATCAAATACAATTTATGGAGTTTCAAGTACCACAAGTTTATTCAAACACTTAACAAGCTTTGATTTTTATTGTATGTATCTACGTATACGTAATATGAGAAAAACTAAACTTACCACAGTTTACACTAAACCTAAGCACTAAATTATGCAATAGAGCTTTAAACTCTTGATAGATTATATTTCTCTCTCTCTCTCTCTCTCTCTCTCTCTCTCTTTATATATAGCATGTGTGTATATAAGTAGTGTAATCAATACAATGTCGCCGCAAACGCCAATGCAAATCAGCTCAAACCGACCGCAGTGGTGAGCAGCAACCCCCCTCCCCTCATCCGCACCCCCCACCTCGACACCCGTTACATTTTTTCGTGCGTGGCACTGTCGTCCATTGTCGACCAGGCCGCGGCTGCACCAACAACGGGCAAGTGATAATCACGTGGCGGCGTAAAGGGGCGCATAAAGTGTCGCCACTGATGTTGGGCGTGGTGATGATGATGGGGGGATGTTGGCGTCACTGTTCCGGCACCCGCTGCCGTTGCATGCTGGTGCTGCTGGTGGCAGCTATTCGGCTCGAATTTCGGGCGTGGTATGCGCAATTGTTTGATCTCGGTCAAATAGGTTTCCATGATGAAGAGATAGACACAGAGAGAGTGTTTGTCCGCCTGCTGATTTGTTAAGTTGTTTTAATGAACCAACCGATTTGTTGTTGTTTAACAAAGCTGCAAATACATGGAGCGTTTTAAATACGAGTCGATTGCCGGCAATTTGCTTTAGCGCAATTTAAGTTGTTGACAAATTGAAGTGAAAGGAAACTTAAGCAGCATAACCTTTATGTCAAAGTTATGGCTGCACTTAAACTAATAAACATAAACACATAAAAAGTTGTAATAACTTAGCTTAGACAAATTTCGATCCACAAGTAAGAAAAATGCATTCGATCTTTTTTCAAGATCTTTGTAGTCATTGATTCCTAACTAAAAACTGATGGGTTGTTTGTTTCAACGTATTTCAAATGTGTTGCATTTAATAATAAATTCAAATGTGTTTGGCCACAGTAAATTCAATTTAGGATCGGAAAATGGTTGGATACTATTCAAGCTAAATGTGAACAATTGCTGCGGCAAAGCCAGTTAATGACTGTTATGTATTTACGAACAGGATATACATTTACAAACATATGAATATATTATATAGATTGCTTACCAATCGGATTATGCTATAACTCTTTGCAAGGAGTAAGCGAAAAGTGAAAGTGAATTCGTAGCTTGAACAGAAACAGCAACCAGAGTAACAATAAAAGTAACAACAAGAAAGAAAAAAGAAAAACAAAACAATAGCAACAACAATAAATGTTGCATGTAGATTGTGTGTTTGCCAGAAAGCACGAAACAGCCAACAAGTAATAATAGTAATTTCCGTAAAAGGCGTTCGGGCAAATCAACGCATCGCTTCGCATCGCATCGACTGCAAGTTCAATGTGTGTTAAGTGTCTACGTCTGTCAAAAGTCATCTGGGAGATGCAAGGCAATTTGGTAGCAATGGATACAGTTGTGCAGACACAGATAGATGAGTAGACAGAGAGAGAGAGAGAGAGAGAGCGAGAGAGAGAGAGAGAGAGGGGTCTACTCGCTTAGCCCTGTTTACACAGCTGACACTTTTTGACAGAGCGGGTGGGGGAATAGGGGGAATTTAAGCGGCAAGTTCGACTGCTTCGAACAGTGACCAGCGACCGGCTGAGCAAGCAACCAGTTTGATTTCAACTAAAACAGACAAACAACTTTTTGTTGTTGTTGTTTTTGTTGTTGTAAGTGGATGTCTGGGCAATGCGACACTCACTTTTTGTTGAAATTACAACGGCAGCAAGTCCATGCAGGCAAACCAGCCACACAACCGGGCAGCCAGGCAGACAGGCAGGCAAGCGAAGACCAAAACTCAAAGTGGGTCATTAGAGAAACGTACTAAATAAGGTACAAGACTTTGTCAAGAGCAGACCAAGCGGGCAGCATAAATGGAAAGTAAATAGTTGTTGTTATTGTTGTTGTTATTGTTGCGGCCACGAAAGCGGCAAATAAGCAACTCAAAAAATGTTGTTTATAATGTAAATAGACGTTAAATAAATCATTTTGATGCGTAGCAGCAACATCAGCCACAAACTATTCAAAATCCGGTCTAAAAACTCATTTGCTGTAAACCATAATCAACACACTTAACGGCCAGTCTGACAGAGAGCCACAATTCTCAACACATTTGACTTCCACAGAAATAAAAATACAAAAAAAAGTGTATTAGGCAGCCAGCTAATGAAGTCAATTGTGTGAAGTTTTAATTCTGGCAAGTTTATTTACAGTTAAAAACATTTCGGACTGCCCAAGCATCATTAAAGTTCTCACTTCTGAAATGTCTAAAACCCTCCAAATCCTCTCTCTATCTCTCTCCGTCTCTCTCTCTCTCTCTCTCTCCGTCTCTCTCTCTCTCTCTCTGACTCTATGTATCTCTTACCAGACAGATTTATTAATTTTATGACGTTATCGCCGTCCAGTTTTATGATTATTTAATTGGTTACGAAAACGTTGAGAGACGTTAAGCGTTAAACAAAAGCAGTGGAAAAATGATGTTGAGCATTTCATTGAGAATTCAGGGAAAGCTAATTTTTTGTATGAATTTAATCTTTCTATTGTTAGATGTGTTTGAATATAGTTTCACAAATTGACAGCATCTTACTTCATCAATATTCTACTGTATGACACGCATTCAGACTGTGACCGACTTAACTCAATATCACTCTTAAATCATATTGCACAACAATCGGTTTGGTTTTTTCTTTTTGGGGGGCGATTTGAGAAACAGCTCAATGAGTGGTCAGCTGACAGCTGTCGGGTTTTTTTTTTGGGTCAATGTGCTGGCTGAAAATATTATGGCCACTTATATTCATAGACACAGTGTCACAATACACAATATGTTCAAATGATCTTCTGCTAACAATGGTGTGAATTTGAAGGTAAATTAACTGCTCACCTTTTGTTTACAAAAGCTTAACAGACAGAGTTAGATTTGGATTCGTGGTTTGGACTCGCACGGAGGCAGCGGAACCAGCTCTTCAAAAGTTTCTCAAACACTTCGAGCGGTTCTATTGATGGAAAAGTTGATGCGGTGACGCGTTGAAAGGCGGCACAACTTTCACAAGCAGAAAGAGAATTTTCCACAAGTAACAATAATGAAATTGACGTCAATTGCCCAACCCATTTAACAGTATTCTGTTCCAGCTGCTCCAGCCCTATATATATATATATATATATATATATTTTTTTTTTTTTGTGTTTTCCTCAGACCATTTTTCAGCCACAACGTTTGTCAGTCAGCAGTTTTTTGAAAGCCGCTTACGGCTGAACAATTTAAAATCAATCAAATTTATGACTTTGCAGACTTCGCAGCGGTTCGTCGCTTACACACATGTGTGCATTGCTCGTAGGTTGGGATTTGTAACCAAATCCAAGCGCAGACAACCTCATGGATACAGACATGCCATTGACCTCGATGCCACATTTATATTTCGTATCTCATAGATACCAAATTGCGCTAGCATCAGTCCCCAGTTAGCCGACTGTCATTAGATACGCATTGACAAATATGTGCATATACACTCAATGGACTTAATAATGTTGCCAATTTATTGGCTTATTGACTTAACTACTTCGTTACGGAGATTTCAGACTTATTTTCAAGGCAATTTTTCTTATGTAAATGGAATCGAGCTCGAACTGTAGAAGTGTTGGCATAATTATGGGACTTATTATTGCCATTGAATATGCTTCACTGAACGAATAAGAACCATATTATGAATATTATAGGAAAATGCAAGCTAAAATATCGTCATGTGGATAACAACTTGAGTTACTGAGTGAAAATTGTGAAGAAAAGTAAATTTCAGTTCAAACTTGCAGCTGTTGGTTTTGTCATGGTTTAATGCTTGACTCGTCCTACCACTAACTGCTTTCCCTTTAGCTTGTGTTAGTGCCTTTTCTAGGTCGAAATGTTTAGCGGCTACTCGTAGAATTGTGCATAGAATTTCAGACTTCCGTCAGGCAGAGTGACTGAAAGAAACTTAATTGCAAAACCAGTCAGCAAATAGAAGAAAAAAACATAAGCAAAATGAAGTTGCTAACGTTGGGACTGTTGTTGTTGAGGCGGTTGTGGGCAATTAAAAAACAGCCATAAACAAAAGAAATTAGCGCGCCAACAAACAACAAACAGTCGACCAAACAATAAAAACTGTCAGAGGTGAGAAATGGCTGTTAATTGAATGCAAATGCATAATTTTGCAACAGTCACTCAACGTCTCTGTCCCCATCTGGGATTCCGTCCTCATCTGCATTTCGGTTGTGACACATGTGAGCCAAGATTGCAGTCGCCTTGCGGCAAACATTGCAAAAACTAAAACACACAATGATTATATAACAAAAAAAACAGAAAAACAGAAAAAATCACCTAACTACCCTGCGGCAATTGATGCTTGGCCACAAGAAAACACAGCTAGGTAACTTCTTTCATTATTTTGTTTGTTTTTTTTTTGTTTGGTTTTGTACTGTTGCCATCGTTGGGTTTGTTGTTGTTTAGTTAGTTCGAGTCGGTTGTTTATGCAACAATTTGCAGCAAACAGAGCGCGAAATGAGCGGCAACTATGCGAAATTTGTCAACTCCACAACTGGTAGCAATTGTAATTTAAGTTTTCAGTATTTACACGTCATTTCCCATTTATACGCACGTTTTGTATCTCAAATTGTGAACTCGGCCAAAGAAGGTTTTTTTCTCTCAGATTGCTTCAAGTGTTGTCTGTCCGTCTGCGTGTGTGTGCGTTTGTCGGAGTTTCTCTTTGTGTTTCTCAGTATTCCTCTGGTTTGGCCAACCTTACGCTTCAAGCAACGACGCGCAACTAAAAACTCAAATTGCAGACGCGGCCAAAACAGCGGCTAACTGCGACGCTGACGTCGGCAGCGCTGCTATATTGGTTTGTACTCTGCCGCTTGGGGTATAGTTGGCTTCTTATTGGGCTTAATGGCGTGGAAAAAAAAACAATAAACAAATGAGTCCAAAAACTAGTTGAAAATTTTTTATTGTTTTGTTTTTTTTTTTTATGAAAAACTGTTGTCACTAATAGTATTTTCTTAATGTCATGGACATTGTTTGTGTGGATATGGTCTGGTTGGGCTTGCTCTATAAAATGCTATTTAATTTTTCTTACATTATTCCAAAAGTAATATATAATGAAAACATAGAAAGGATAGTTAGTTCTAACTATAAGTTATCATACATTTTATATTATTATATAATTATTATTATTAATTACAGCTGCCAACAAGCAGCTTTACAGCCCATTAATAAGTATGTAGTTTTAAGGCCTACACCAGTATTTATGATTAAGAGAGTGTATTTAAGAGTTGTACACAAAGAAAATGATATTGTATCTATCTTGTAGTTTACTTTGCGTGTGGCTTTCTTTAGGCGACTCTGACGCTGCGTTTCAGTTACATTTTATGGCTCAGTAATAAAACAATTACACACAGCGACAAGCAAAGAAACAACAACAATTATAAATGGTGCAGATTGCCCAAAGATTGTCAATATTTATGGCTGTCAATTTTTATAGAAATATATGTGTATATATACATAAGTTTATCATATTTCGTACACCACAGTTAGATTTACATACACCCATAAGTGAGATGTAAGCGGTCTGTTGCAAGCTTTACGCAATGGCCATCAGCAGCAGCAACAGCAGCAGCGGCACCAGCAGCCACATCAGAAGCAGCAGCATGCTGTACAGCAGCCTAAACAGCATGGGGTAGTCGCATTTGTGTACGTATCTATGAGATACTGTATCTGCAGCTGACACACTGCAGCTGTGAGGCTGTCCCATGTTGTTGTTGTTGCTGTTGTTATTATTGTTGTGGTTGCTGCTTGCCGTTTGCCGCAGTTTTGTCGGCGTTTTTTTGTTTTGCTCTTGCATGACGTAAACAGAAAATCGCTTTGACTCTTTTGTTGCTGGCGAGTTGATGGTCAAAAGCAGCGTTTGGCATTGAAAGGAGATGAGCGTCATTATTTTTATATTGTCGCTGCTGATGCTGTTATTTTTTAATTCGGGTTACTTGACTTTAATTGTTTAATTTCTAACAGACACTTGAGCATTTACAGTTGCTGTTGCTGATGTCAAACGTATTAATTTTCTGTAATTCTCTTTTATATTCTCTCTCTCTCTCTCTCTCTCTCTTTGTCTGCTGGACTGGCTAACAAATAAAAAAATGAAATAAAAACGAACTCACTGAAACTAAAATGAAAACAGGAACAGGTAAGCGTTTTGCGTTCGCTTTGCATTCGTTTTTCGTCTGCGTCGTCGTCGTTTTTTACAATTTAAGCACTTTTTTCAAAACTATCTTTTAAATGAACACGAACATTCACACACCCACATACTCAAATGTACGCCCATTAACAAGAAACAACAACAACAACAACACACACACACACATACACACATAGACCTAAAACCTACACATACATATATATATATATAAATAACTTCATAACAACATACACAAAAACAATAAGGAAGCAGCCAATTTAGCTGCATATGCTGACATACAAAGTCTTTTGCCGAAAGCGTTGTAAATATTTAGCGCTATTTTTACTATGTATTTCCCACTGATTGTTGTTGATATTTGCGGCTCCTATGCATTAGCTATAATTCACAATGCGCCGCGGAAATGCGAATTGCGATGCCATTTGCAGCAAGCATTGTGCGCCGCTCTTGTTTATTTGCTGAAAGCCCAAAGTGACTGCCGACATAATCAAGATAATGAGTTAATAGACAATATTTATAGTTGTATAGGTATATACCTACATATATATATATATACCACACGAGACAAAGTTAATAGCTTCTCAGCGAGGCTTCGCAATGCCCCTAACAGTATGTTACATTTTATATCGCATAGGAACATGAATGCTAGCAACATTATACCAAGCAACATGATGGCTAGCAACATTGAGCAACCCAGCAACAATGTAGCTATCGATAGGCAAGGGAAATTGTAACGTTTTAAGTAGTATTTGACAAAGCGCTGATTATTATTGTATTTAATGATGTAGAACGTCTATCCTGATAAATTGTAGTAAAAATTATATTCTTTAGATTATTAAAACAAGTAAATGTTTCATACAAAATAAATAAATCACAAAATTAGTGGACTTATATAATCAAAACTATATAAAAAGATCATTATTTTTAGATTTAAGTAATATAACACTTAGATAATCATGTGGACTACTTAAACAGGGCAGATTTTAAATTACAAATGTATGTAGATATTAAAAATTAGCAACACTCGTAACAATACCTGTAATCCTGATTCTAGCTAAAAGTGTATTCAAACGTAGAACTTTATATAAAACATATATATCAACATTTATTAAATAGTGTGTAAAAGAGAGCAGCTGAGGGCTCTGCAATACCCACACATCACCATAAGACAGATCCATAAACCCCTTTAAACTTTCAGTTCTATTAAGCAACACTGATTCTGTTCTGATCACTTTCTCATTTTTCGTTGGCCCCCTTAAGTTAGCATACAACCTAAGCATACTTACATATTACATACCACATACATATGGATATCATATTCGTTTCTTCTCTTTAATGTACAATATCCAATGATAATTTTTAGTTAGTGTTTGTTTTTGGTTTCTGTTTCTGTATCGGTTTCTGTTTGAGTTGAGCTGAGTTGTGTTGTTTTTTGTGTGCTCTCTACCTTTACCCGTTCTCCCCCCGAAATTGTTCTCGTTTGTTCATTTGTGTGCATTTCAGGGCGGCTACTTAGATGGACTACGTTCACATTTGGGTGGTTTAACACAACGTGTCAAATCATGGTATTGGGGACGACCTCTTGTAAGTGCCAATGTATTTTTCGTTTAACGAAAGTAAACTACAAAACTAAAAAAAAAAAGAAGATACAAACAAAACAAATCAAAAACTAAAACCAAAATAAAAATGGAAAGAATACAAACAGCCAACCACAAATACATAAATTGTCAATACTTAAAAAAAAAAATCAGTTCTTTGTGAATGTTTGAACTTTTGACTTTTGAATTTGCATCTCGTTGCATCTTCAGCGCATAAATCAAATTTAGCCTGAAATAGAGTTTTTGCTATAATGTTATATTTTATGCTCTGTCTCACTCTCACTTTACGCTCTCTGTCTATTTCTCTCTATCCACAATAACTAATTAACTAACTAACTAACAAACTAACTAACTTACTTACTTACTTACTAACTAACTAACTGTTTGTATGTGCCTTGCAAGAATCAGCACAATGCGAGTGCAATCAAAAAACAAAAAGTAAAACCAAATTTGCATTTCCATTCGTTTCACACAATTCACCATTTTATGTTGTAATAATCGTAGGAAATGTGTTTTAGTTCTCCACCTCTTGATCACATCTCGTTCCACGTTCCACGTTTCACGTTTCGTCTCGTCTCAACTAATTGCTTGCCCACACTTGAACTCATCTTAACTAGTCGATAGAGCCGAATCAACAACGTATAACTTAAAACGTACTTAGCCACATTTAGATGTTTGTTTGTTATTTCATTTCCATCTTGGCGCACTCAAAACTCTAAATACTTATTATCAATTTTTACTAATTAGAGTTTCCTTAGTCTCTTATAAAGTAATTGTCAATGTAAGTACATATGTTAACTAAACAACAACAAAAAAATGCGAAAACAATCTAAACAATATGAACACGTTAAAAACAACGTCAACGCAAATTAAAGAAAATGTCAAAATAATACAAACTAAAGCCACAAAAAATAAAAATAAAAGTATCCTTAAAACCAAAGAATAAGCTTGAAAAATACATTTGCACATTTACGCATGAGTCAACCTAATTTTTAAACACCGAATCCACCACAATCCCACAGCCTCCACCAAACCCACCCACCACCAACTTACCCACCAAAAGGCATCGACACATGCAAAAATTTAATTTGGTTCATCAATTTTTCAAAATATTACGTTTGTAGTTCGTAAACTTCTATATATATATATATAAATCTGGTATTTTTTATTTTGCCCTGTAATTAGATTTTCAGCTCCCAATCATAGTTTTTGTACATTTGCGTTTATCTATTATACCATTTTTGTATTAACTTTAGCTGCTGCCGCCCTTCAAACAACGACATATCTACATTCATACATACATAGTCACACACACACACACACATACATATACATATACACCTATCTAGTTGTAGCATAAACTTTTAGATACTTACACACATCTGTAAAATAAGTTAATGTTTTCCAAGTTTTAGTTAGCGCTTTTCTAAATAAAACCCAATACAAATTGAACTATATACATACTACATAGCCAACTAATTAGTCTTGTTGCAAGTCTAGCCAACAATATAAGTGTCTTAGTTGCCATTTTGCAAGCTGTTTTTTCGTAAAATACACTCTTTAAATATTTAAACAAATCTCAATCACACAAAACACACACACACAAAGACATTTGTATAGCTGCCACGCCTATACTCTCCACATACACTACACCGACTACATTATACACTGAAACAAACACCAGCACTCGCATTCTCATAACTTGCACCCAGATAAATAAAAGACACACCAGCACACACACACACAAACATACAATTTTAGGTAATTATACACAAGCTACACTTGAAGCTTTGCAAAAAATCAACGATTGTGTTTTCAATATATATAATTGAAAGCCCTGATCTTGTGGCATCGTTGAGCTATCGATATCTATCGAAAGTTAATTGTGGATTCTTTTCAACTCTTTAAAAAAGGTGTAAATAAGCTTCTACATAATCAAAATTTGTGTTGGTTTTTTCTTCTCGATGAACTAAGGATTGTAAATCGAGTTCTAGATATTGCCCCATTTGCTAGAGCCTAAAATGTTTAGAGATATTGGCTTTTAAGGAAAGTGAGTCGAATTTCAAAGAGAGGTTTGGCAATATGACTAATAAAGTTTTATTGAAAAGCGCAAAATACTTCTGAAAATGCATTTTTATGTGACGATTTCAGTGCTATATCTTCTAAAGCAAGTGAGTCAGGTCTCGGAGAGAGTTTTTGGCAATATAAATATTAAAATGATTTTGAAAAGCAGAATATTTGAAGATATGCATATTTAAATTTATATATTTATATCAGTACGCTGTAATTTTAGAATTGACAAAAACAACTTAGTAACCAGAGAAGAAGCTTTTCGCAAACACAACAGATAAGCATAGAAATCCAGCAAATGGGATTCCCTTCAATTAAGTGTATCCATTAAATGCAGTATACTCAATGGATTTGGCAAATTGAGTCATTGGAGAGTCAGCGGCTATTTATATACATAAATACCTATGTATTGCGTAGCTGCTCTAAATTTGGTTTTATGTAAATAAAATCCAATCCAATCAAATCAAGAGAGTATTCGCTACAGTTCAGTTCTCAGCTTAAATCGATTCACTCAAGCACGCAGAAAGCTTTTTGCATATGCTATTCTCAATGCATTTTGTACCACCACCCCTTTTACCCAAAACCCCTCCTCAATCTAAAGTACTTCACTACGTATAAGCAATATTCAAATGTCATATTTAATTCAACTCAATTTCTATCTATATGTCTGCAAGTGAACAATCTTAAAAACAATGTACAATAATAATAATCACATAAACAAAACAAACACCATCTCCTGACTTGTCGTTGCCAAACATTCTGCAAAGAAAGCGCAACAGAAAATCCAAACTACACCGAAAAAAAAAATTATAACAAGCAAATACAAGAACAATACTGATTTTAATCTAGCTACAATTAGTACAAATACAATCGATTCTTATGCAAATATTTCTACTATTTTCATTTTACATTCAACATATTGTACAAATCCAAAAAAAAAAAACAACAACCAAAACCAAATTATTCAAAACTTTGCGCACTCTGCATACAATTTGGCCAATTTTTTTTAAATAAAAAATATGAAAAAAAACCGAAAATATTGAATAAATATTAGGAGTTGGCCACAAAACTCTCAAGAAGTTTCGATATGAAGGAAGAAGGCGGCACTTTGCTGGGCGATAAAGGTGTACGAAGGCATCAGGTGAGTGCTACAGTTAAGTGTGATAGGAAACTGCACACTTAATACCAGATCAATATCAATGAAATATAAAAAATAACAATAAAAAAATTAAATACTTAAATAATCGTCCGCAGAGAATGCCAACAAAATAAACTATACGAATGTTTGCGGTTTGACTTGACAATTAGCTCAAACTCAGTTTTATTACTCTGTCAGTATGTTTTTTTGTTAACTCTAATATTCTAAACGAAGCTCGTCAGAAACTCAATACAAATGCACAAGCACCACAAACAAATTCAAGTCAAAAATCTTGTGCAATTTGGTCAATAAAAACAGCAACAACAACAAGAACAACAAACAACATCTCATGATTCATTGCCACACAATATAAACGTAAACTACTTGAACTACAATACCAGCTAGATATGTAAAGTTCATTGAATTGGCTTCCCCTTAGCATCAAAGTTTCATTTTGTTTGCTCTCCCCAGGCCCCGTTCCCCCTTCAAACACCCACCACTCACGTACACTGACAAAAACAACAACAGTTACATATTCCTTACTTGAAATTTGTTGTACAAACTTCTTACCAAAAACAACTTTGCTTTCTGCTTGCCTTTAAAATAGAACACCAAATCTAAATACTACTACTATTTAACTTTTGATAAACACCATTCGAATTTTATATTAATTAACCAAACGTATAAGCTACTTATGTATTCCCAAATTATTAGTGAATGTAGGCTAAATAACTACACAACATATCTTGCAGCTATGAAAAGTGATGAACTTTACTTTTGGGCCTTTTTTTTTGGTTATTAACAATGTTCATGTTTATGGTTCTGCTCTCTCTTTTCATGATGATTTGTCCATAGTCCATGCAGCGTCTGTCTGCTGAGCAGAACGGTGGTTCAACGACTGAACAAACACATGAACACAATCCAAACGTCGTACCTGATCATAGAGGCAACTTACACATTACAGTTAAGAAAACCAAACCAATTTTAGGTATTGCTATCGAAGGTGGTGCTAATACAAAACACCCGCTTCCTAGGATAATCAATATCCATGTAAGTACCCCTTCCGATCCAAAGAAATCAACATTGCTATAGGTTTCTTTAATCTGCCATAGGAAAATGGTGCGGCATTTGAAGCGGGTGGCTTAGAAGTCGGGCAATTAATATTGGAGGTAGATGGAACTAAAGTGGAAGGTCTACACCATCAGGTAAATATTTATTTTTCGACTTTATATCTATGTACATTTACAATAAATATAATTTGTAATATTTTAGGAGGTTGCCCGATTGATAGCCGAATGCTTTGCAAATCGTGAAAAGGCTGAAATAACCTTCTTAGTTGTCGAAGCGAAAAAATCAAATTTGGAACCGAAGCCAACAGCATTAATATTTTTAGAAGCCTAACATTTGCTTGCCCTGCCGGCTAGTGACCCATTGGAACGACAAAAACTCGAGTTCCTCTATGAATGGGGCATCGATTTAACGGAGACGCCAAAACCAATGCCAACACCGATACCGCTGACAAAAGCTAAAAATCCACCGCCACTGCCTCATGAGCTATATAGCAACAGCAGCAGCAACAACAACAACAACAACGCCAACTATGGCAGCAATACTGCGCTCAACAATCATCAACATTCACATCCACATCATCACCAACAACAACAACAACCACAACAGCAACCACAACAAAAACAACAACAACAACACTATAATACAAACACGCCCACAAGCACACCAACAACACAATCAACAGCTGCAACAACAACTACAGCTGCAACAACAACAAAACAACAGCAACAACAACAACCACAACAACAACCACAACAAAGGCAACACTTGAACAACACCAACACACCAACGAAAGCATCGCGCGAGGCGACACCAACACGTGAGCAACAACAGCAGCAGCAACAGCAGCAACATGCCACACCTACGCGCGAGCCACCAACACCAACACGCCAACAGCAACAACAACAACAACAACAACAACACCAAAGGGAGCAACATCATCACGATCGGCAGCAACAGATGCGCGAGCAGCGCGAGCAACGCGAACGTGAATACCAACACGACCACCACCAGCATACCCATGGACACGGACATGGACATGGGCATGGACACGGACAACAGCAACACACAGCATACACACACCATCGTGATCATTACGAGCAGCAACACCAACATCATCATCATCATCAGCAGCAGCAATCGTCATCATCGCATTATCAACAACATCAGCAGCAGCAGCAGCAGCATCAACGCTACAACAGCGACAGCTACAAAAATCATAATAATTCCGTTTACCAGTAAAACAAAAGAAAAAAGACAAAAGAAGAACAGCAACAACAGCAACTACCGCTAAATTGGAACAATTTTGGAACATTCTATCGAACGGCTTTCAACAGTTAACAGTTAAATTGTGCTAACAATTCCCAAACACTAACGTCTCGCTCTTTGCTCTCTCCCCCTCTCTATCTCTCGCTAGATACATATATATATATATATATATACTTGTAAGTACACTTATTAATGTGTCTCATGCACGCCTCTATCCACACCAATCGCCTATTGCTATGGCCAAACAGTGAAAAACCCAAACAAAATTGGAAAATCTTTGTGCAAATGCTGTAAGCGTAACGCAATTCAATGTTGTTGTATGAGGTCCCGTTCAAAACTTCCCATCCTGTGACCCAGTTTATACAAAATATCCCCACACTATTCATTTTTTTGGGTTGTATTTTAAGAGCTGTTCTATGACAAAAAAAAAAACCAAAAAACTAAAAAATCAAAAGACAATACACTTATTCATTTATGAATCAATTTATATTCTTGCTACATATCCCGTTTCTTTTGAAAATTCATTCGTTTTTCGTTAACCTACTCTCATTAATATTGCTGACTTAATTTCTTCCTTTTAAAGTTATAACTTGTTTGTTGTTTCGGAATATATCAAATCAAATTTATACACTGCCAACAAATTTATCAAAAAACAAAAAAAACAACAACTCATATACACAAAAGAAAAAAAATTATAAAAATTTAGAGCAGCTCTTCTTCCTCACTACTGCCTGCTCTCTCTGTCAAATCCGATGCAACCTACCTGTATTTCCTATATAGCTCGCCTAGCATTTGTAAGTGGCGATTACTTACTTACTTACTTACTTACTAGTACAACCCAGTGTAGAGCCCGTAACTGAACTTAGGACTTCTAAAAATCTCATCACACGCTATGATGTGTTAAACTGTAACTGTAAACCATGTATTATGTATTGATAAAATATGTTTATGAACGCGAAACTTAGTCTAAATGGTTAGTCGTTAAAAATGATTTAAACTAAAACTAAATGAATACACATTTAATTTAACAAAATAAAAAAAAGTATAAAAAAAATTAAAAACACTATATAGAAGACCCACATTCCCAACCAGCAACAAACAAATATGGCATACATTAAATTAAATAAGATGAAGAAACCAGAGCTTAAAAAATATAATTAAAACCCTTAAACCGTAAGAAAATGATTATTACGCAGAAGAAGCAGAGATAACAGCCACAGACACTGTAAAAAAACAAGCGATTAATAAAGAACAGCTTTTGTTATGCAAATACACACACACACACACATACGCACACCTCAACATGCACTCACGAAGATAAAATGCTTGACTATTTATGTAGCAGTAAGTAGCAGCTACAGCAAACGACATCAACAAACAAATATAAAGCCCACCTATGCAAATAATTTGTAAAAATAATCGTAATACACGCATACTTACAAGCCCAAAGACACACACACACACACACGGACACACAGATGCATAGATACATGTGTAAAAATTAGACCCTAATAGTTGAAAGGAAATACCACTGAACACTAAACTCGAAACACAACACGCAGGCAATGTGTCGATAAAGCAGGCGATGTGCAAGCAGTGTGCGAAGCATGCAAGCAGTGCGATCCACAGCCGTCACATTCATATTACAAATCAATGTATCAATACAAATACTTATCAGCAAGAATTAATGGCGCAAAATTAAAAGAACTTAACAAAACCGTAATTAGTACAATTTAAACTGCACACTGCACTCTTTTTGAATGTTTGTTAAATGTTTTAAAAAACACAACAGCTGCAAAATTGTATTCCTCTCACAAGAAAAAAAAACAAAATCCACAAAAATGGTAAACGAATTATAAAACAAACAAAAAAAAAACTACAAAAAAGCTACGCTACTCTACCATTAAACAACTAGCAAATTTAATAACATTTACAATATGCAGTAGAGAAAACGAACGCTTAAAATTTGAGGTTGATTGGCATTAAGTACAGCATTAAAGACAAGTTAAAACGATGTTAAAAGCCGACAGGGCGCGATAACGAGCAACAAATACTAAAAGCACGACTTAACAACTATTTGTGCAAGAATTTAATATATAAATATATATTTATATATATTGTATAATATTAGCAAAAAACAAACTTTTTAATATGAAAACGAAACAAAAACCAAATCATCAATTTTTTGCTCTCTTTTTCTCTCTTCTCTCTCAGTCTAACACGCATTTAGTACCCAAATCATTTGGCAAACTTTTCGATTTTGTTTGTTGTGTGTGCGCTAGTTTTAAAACGAGAATTGAAAATGATTAGAACTCTGCACTCTAAATGTCGTATGAGCAATCTCTTCCCCTAAGTCAAGTGCTCCAAGAATTGAGAGCCACAAATTAGATTTGTGTCTAAGTAACTTATGCAGAATATTTATTATTATGGCTGGCTTGTTTTTTCATTACCAACTATCGACTAAAAACTACTAACTGTCTGCTTGACTTCTATTATTCTCCCTTGCTCTCTAAGTGTATTGTGTGACTTTAGTGAAACAAATTTTGAAAAACAAAACGTGTTAAATGATATTGTAATTGTACTTTTGTTGACTATTATGTAATAACGCTTTGCTGTATGTATATTAGTTATGTAAATTTTTAGCAGCATTACTAAAAACAACAAATTAACAACAACAAAAATCAATCGCATGCTGTTAGTTATTGTTAGTAATTTATGATATAAATAAAATTATTCGTGTATAAAACAACAATTAAAATTTCAAAATTCAAAATTGTACTACTACTTAACTTGTGAATTGGTCAACAAAAACAAAAATGAAAAACAAAAAGCATGTTAAAGATTTTTTGAAGCGCTTGTGCGTGTTAAGCTGAATCATATATATAGTATATATATATACATACATACATATACAAATGCAAATACATATAGACATGTGTATGTAGAAAGTAATTGGCACGCCTAAACGCGATTGTAAATTGCTGGAAATTCGGACGAAAGGCTTACTTAATCTTAACTTAAACATAGCATAACATTAAATACCTAATTCATGACACGATATATGATAAAACACACACACACACACACAAGTACATTATAAATAATAATACATATATATATATATATAAAAGTGCATATGTATGTACATGCTATACATATAACGCATATAGAGCATACTCGTATACTAATTACATACATTCATGCATACATACACACCTATATATATCTAAAGTAACGACAATGAAAAGCAATTTGAAGCAAACAACAATTTCAATTTCACAAAACATATTTAACACATGAACACACTGAACAATACTAGCATCAAGTTAAAAATCGGAGATGAACAAAATTGAAGCTACTAATTATATAGTGAAAAAGAAAATACATGCAACAAAAGCTTCTATGCTATGCTAAAGGGTAAAAGGCATTTATTCATAACTAACAAAAGGAAACCAGCTTATAAATACCATTAATACAAATACAAAAAAATTCAAAAACCAAATACAAAAACAAAAACCAAAAAAAAAAACTACCACGTAATATCGTAACATAAATAGCAATAGCAATACTTACTACTATGTACTAACTACTTAGTTGTAGTATTAGCCGAGCGAGCTGCAGCCTCAGCAAAAACTTGTTGTATAAAAGATTGAGCTAGACTTTTAAATGGGATAAACATGCGTAAGTGTTTAAAATATATACATATATGTATATATATATATATATATACTTACATACATATTATATATATATATATATACATATATTCTAATTGAGATCGATCGCTGTAGATAAATGTGTACAAAAGGTAAAAGGATATTAAAATGTTTTCAATATACTCTATGACAAAAAAGTTTCTATATATACAAGTATCATTTGAAAGGTCTCGCCGTTAAGTTGTCCTCCCTTTATATGTTTTGAGTTCATCTCATCTCTTTTTGGAATACCCATAACAGACCATTCACACGAACAACTACAACTACAACTACAACTACAACTACAAAACTGTGCCACCTAGTACATAACAAGAAAAGTTATATATCTGCAATGTATAGACACATAATGAATGAATACGACTTGTAATATAAATACACATACATATATACACATAGACAACAAATCTCAATGCTCACTTTTATATTTTTATCATACATACTACTATATACTATATATACATACATATATATATCAAGAACACCAAAACAAGGCACCGTAAGCAACACTGAAGGAACTAAGAAACAAACTCAACAACAAAAAAATTAATATATAAAAACAAGCAAACAAAAACCAAAACAAAACAAAACAAAAATAGTATGTTTACATGAAATTGATGAAGCATACTTATATAAATTATTAACAGAAAAGTTCAACATATTTACTAAATGCGCATAGAACGGGTTTGGAATCGAAATTGTCGAATATTCGTAATTCACACGGTAATTTCCGTTTCAAGTCGATGCTTTCTAGTGCAAATTGCTTCTGCTTCTAAGTGAATATACATACTTACTTAGTTCAATGCGAGACATAAACCTCTTAAATGATTACTATTATTTTTGTTGACCCTTTGTTAATTAGACGAATCATTAATTAGGCGAATTAAATGAGAACACCAGGCATAAACGCAAAAGATCGAGCTAAACTGCATAGTGCATAGTGTTAAACATTAAAATTAAACAAAAAAAAACAAGAAAAAGAAAATAAGAAAAAAGAAATGTATTTCCGTTGTGTATATTGTAAAGAAGAACAAAAAACTATTGAACAAAGCATAAAGTTAAACATTTAAAGCAAAACAATTTATTGAGAATTAATTAAATATGTAATTGTATTTATCAAAATTAAAAGCAAGTAAAAAACGCATTAGCATAGCAATGAAAATTTGAAATGATATATATGATATATATATATATGATATGAAATGATTCAAGAAGCGCTGATTTATTATTATATATATTATTAATTAAATTATTGCAAAACAAGAGTAAACAAATGATATTGTCCTTGGTATTTACATATACATAAAACAAAAACAATGAAAAATAAAAACAAAACGTTTTTTTATAAACAATCTAAACAGTTTCTTGCAGTGCACGCTAGCAAGCAAGTAGTTTCAACTCGATTACAAACAGATTCCGGTCAAACGGCCTGCTTTGCATAGTTTGCCGTATTTTGTTTTCGATTACGATTTGCAAACAGGTCTCACACCTCACTCCCACTTTTCAGTTTAGTCGAGCAACGCATTTGAACGAGAAGTAAGCGATGCCACAGGCCAATCTTAAGTTGTCCCCACACGATCAGCAGGTGCTGGAGTCCATATTCAATCCGCTGGAGCTGTCTGGTATCGCTGCCCACAATGTTGACATACCAGCCGAAGAGCTGCTTAAGGATGAGGAGCAGCCATCGGATCACTTGCAGGCATCCATTGAGCTCGAGTTGCAAGCTGTACGTTTGACGGAACAGGGCGAATTCGATAAAGCCTTGTTGCAGTTCGACGAGGCATTAAAGCTGACGGAGCGTGCCTCAATCCTCAACAATCGGGCTCAAGCACTGCGTTTGGCGAAACGCGATCAAGGTAATTATTAATAAAAAAAATAATATGAAAGTTAGCCTAGCCACTCCTCAGGCCTGCTCTTATACAAGCTTTGTTATTCATTTAAAGTGCCTAATAGGCATTCATTCTGAAGTTTTCAAATCCAATTAAATGAAGCCTCTTTGAAAACATCATTCACAGAAAAAGGGTTTCAAAATAAAATACATTCGGTACTTTTAGCTGAGACTCGAACCCAGGTAACACACTACAAAAGCTTGAGCAACAGATGGCGCTTACAACTGAGTGTTTGCTTCTGCCAACACAAAATTTGCACTGCTTTAAAATCAACTAAGCAGTGCAATGCTGTACGTTAAATTTAAATAAACGGATTGCAATTATTATTAAATTATTTAGGTAGTAAGCACTTATTTCAATGTTTTCGTCTATTTCACTCATTGCAGAGGCACTCAGCGATCTAAATCGCGCACTTCAACTGGCCACTGATAAACAATTGCGCACCAAGTGCCACGCCCACTGTCAACGTGGGGTATTGTATAGAAAATTGGAGAATTTGGATGCAGCGCGAACGGATTTCGAGGCTGCTGCTCAGCTGGGAAGTAAATTTGCCAAGGAGCAGGTGAGTGGGAATTAAATGTATTGATTAACTGGAGTTAACAATCAACCCAATTCATTGACAGCTGGTGGAAATCAATCCAATTGCGGCACTCTGTAATCAAATGCTGCGGCAAGCGTTCGATCAGCTAAAATGACGGCTGGCTTTGATTTAACAAAAACCGCGAACTGAGCTCGTTAACATAAATAAAAATTAATTAAGTCCAAGACGCGTCATTTAATGTGATACGCAACACAGCCCAAGCAGAAGCAATAACAAAATCCACTGCATTATGTGGCAAGCTGCAAAGTCTAGAAGTGAATTCGCATAAAAAGTGGCACGTGGAACGTAACAGCAAACAGGCCACCAGGCAGCGAGGCACCCGGCACTTGCCACTTGGCACTTGGCACACGGGAGTCGTGAACACTCGGGGGCCAATATACGAGTTCGGGCTAAAAAAAAAAGCAGCGGCAAAAAAACGAAAACAGTTATTAAATGCAGCAGGCCAGGCCAGCTAGCGGCTTGTCAGATTGCAGCAGGCTATGGCAGAGACTTTCAGTGAGGCTTTACCTCTTTGGCCCGTTGGCGACCGCAAGCTAAATTAAAATAAACGAAAGTGGTTTGCGCAGGATAACGATACCGAAGGAGTGCTGGGGCACTGCTTTTGGGATTTGTGCGGTTACTCGTGGCACGAGCAGCAACTGTGCAACTGTGCGACTGCGCAGTGCTGCCACACAAATACAGATACAGATCCTGCGCGCTCTCCACATGTAAGCGCGCCAAGCTTAACAGTTAAGCGATGCCGATTTTGCCTGGCCGCCTGCTGTTGTAAGCGGGCCGCCTTTGCTTTTTTGTGTTGGTTTTGTTTTTGTTGGTTGCGACCCTGCAACGATTGCGATTGCGGTCAAAAGACGCGCGCGTCCTGGCTAAAGGAGCAGGTGCAGCTAACAAAACAAAACGCACATACACAAAACACAACAACAAAAAGTAAAAAAAAGACTAAGAAAGAGACAGCAAGGATAAAAGGATACACAACATACGCTGCACTCGAATGCAAGTCGAGAGTAGTCGCAGTTATTTATTTTTTTTTTTTTGACTAGTAGATGCGCGAGCTATCGTCCTGCTAGGTCGAGACTAGCTAGCACGAGGGTTGCCCCGAGGGTTGCCCTTGCCAAGCGACCCTCGGCCAGCAATTTTTGATTGATCTCTTTCAGTTGGAGCTGCCCAAAATACTTATAAGTGAGCAAGCGAGTACAATATGTATACATGTGTAATATGTATGTACATACATACATATATGCAATAAGTGCATGCGCATGCAGTTTTTGCAGTTGGAGGAAGTCGCTTTAAGGAGTGTAGGTAGCCCGACAACCCGACAACAACAGCACAGCAACAGCAGCAGCAGCAACAGATCCTACGTATCCTGCGTCAGTTGTGCTGAAGCCGCACCGAAAAAAGAACGCCATATGTTTCACTTTGAGGCCAGGCAAGCAGCGAAATCGTTAACCTTACGGTTAAGGCTGCCTGGCTCCCCATCATCATGATCATGATCATGATCGTGACCATTATGAACATGATTATGAGCAATGTCCCCAAACTCGTAGCGGAACTAAACGCATATTTTGAGCATGCCCCGGAACTGTAATTTGATCGAAAGAGCCCAGCACACAGATAGACATTAGATACAATCTCTGAAGTTCTTTTTCTTTTTTTCTTCCTGCCAAATTATAAGCCAGGCCTTCTCGTCCTAGAATGAGAGATTCCTACCATCCACACTGGGTTATTCACCCTCAGCGCAGCGGCTCAACAGTTGCATTTGCAATCTCTCTCTCTCTCTCTTTCTCTCGGTTTTCTCGTGTCCTTTTTCTTCTCTTCCCTTTGCTGCTCATTTTTTTGTTGCTGTTATTGCTGTTGTTGCTGGCAATTGTGTACCTGGTTCAGGGCGCGTGCCTGCTGTCGTCGTTGAGCGGACTCTGGACTCGGAGGCTCTGCGTTCGTTCTAGTTTGGATCTGAGCAACACATGACGCTGCCTTTGTGTCGGCTGACGTTTCGACCTCTCGTCCTCACGGTCTGGCCACTTTTGCTTCTTTTTTTCGTATGGTTTTTGTTTTTTCTTTTTATTTATTTTTTGTTGTGCATTTTCTTTGTGGTATTGCAGCAACTGTAATTCAGGCCTGCTTATGCAAATATTTTGATCGGACCGGGGACAGTTCGAAGCATCAATGAATAATGCCATAATTGACGAAAACTTAAAAGCGTCAGCGATGAGTTGTGGTAGTGGATAGTGTATAAGTAAATTTATGTATACATATGGAAATATGTGGCTTTTAAATAGATGGTCAGCCTCGACATGATCCTTGGGAATGTACATGAATGTATATGAAAATATATTGGATTATATACTTTTACTTTGGATTACTGCTGCGAATTAATATCTTCTGATCCTTGGAATTTTAATTTTTGTTGTTTATCTGCAAACATCATCGATATATATTATATCTGAACTACGATCAAAGTTCAGCTCGCCCTCAAATTATTTGTGATTCATATTTCTCTAAAGGGATCCAATTACCAATTAACTTTACTCACTATTTTATTAAAATAGCTTCAATTCCATGTATAAAATTCGATTTAATATGCAATACGCATTTCCTATGAAATCCTTGATATTTCTTAAGATTACATAACATCTGAGTTTGGTCTGTTGGCATACAGCAGTTCTAATTGCCATAGGTTGATGCAGTTGCCACATAAATCTCCCAGGTAGCAGTCCCAGTCGCTGTCTATTTCCATGTTTAAGCAAGCACGCGTTGACATTTATGAATTGCTTGGCAATTTACACGACAGACCTGAGACACCCGCGCACGTGGAGAGGGCAAACTTCCTCCTGTGCTTTGCTGCTGTGGCTGTTGCTGTTGCTGCTGTGGCAGTTGCTGTTGATGCTACTGCTGCTGCTGCTGCTGTGAACTGGTCTGCAATTTACACCAACAAACAAAACGCAGTCGGATGCGTCTGGCGCCGTTCTTGTCATCGTTGTTGTTGCTGTTGTTGCTGTTGTTATTGTTGGCGTCGCTCATGAATGGGCCGCTAAATCAAGCAATTATGAGAGCCTTTGTCGCAACTACCAAAACATATGCAAATTAGGCCGACTAACAATTGTTATGAAGATGCGAGCAGTCTGCTTGAGAGCAACAGACGCAGACTAGAGAAGCGGTCAAAGGGGTATCGGCAGGCAGGCAGGCAACAAGGGGAGGGGAACTAGAGAAATCTGTTCAGTTCAATGAATTGATTTTGTATGGGCATCGCTGACACTGACTTACGTGACTGGGATCTGGAAGCGAGCGCAGAGCGCTTAGTTTATCGCCCGCCCCAGAGCCAGCGATTGAGACGGCGACAGGCAGTGGCAGAGAGACTGCTACTGGAAACTGAAAACTTAAACTGGAACTGGGCACTGCATATGCAAAGCGACCGCCAAGTCAAGGCGGAGACGAAGACGCTGTGCTGTGATCGGGTCTCGTTTTGGTGCCGCAAAGCCGCCGACGCCGCAGTCGCTGCGTAGAGCAGCACGCCACATTTCAATGATAAATGTTGAGAGAGGTACGACGAGGTCTGCGCTGTGTGTTGGATAGTTGGCTAGCTGGCTAGCTGGATAGCTGGATAGTCACTGCGATTGCTCTGCGCTCTGCGCTATATTGGGTAAATTGTTTTATTGCAGTTCAATTGTTGGGCCTGGCTTGGCAAGCTTGGGGTTGACAAGCGGCGGCAGAGCGCTCCTTGGAGGTCCCCCTTCCCAAACAGTACTCGTAGCTCAAGTCACATATTATAATGCCCTCAATAGAGTTTATAGACATTTGTATTCTGTTTGCCACCAATTTTAACAAAATGATCACATTGAAAATGTTATTTTTAAAGTTGCTCACATTAAGTACAAGTGGAATACATAATTAACTTAAATAAATGTAAGCCTGTTAGGGTATTCGTACAACAGTCGTTGGCAATGTGTCCCTTTGCTTATTTATATCTTTGCATCTTTTGTGCGCCGGAAAGCTGGAAGCTCTCTCATGTGTCTAACCGTATGCGGAGATTATGGCATCATTTAGAGTCTTGTGAAAAGTTAATAAATGGCTTATCTGCTCGTGGGGCGACATGTGTTTGGCTTAATTGTGTCAGCGTGTGGGTTGCCATTTGGAAAGTCAGCATCGAAGCAGCCGTTGAACTTTCGCACAGCCCAAAATGGTCAAAAATACTTTGGCCAATTGCTTGCAGTTCCAGTTGCAGTTGCAGTTGTTGTTGCAGTTGTTGTTGCACTGCTGCTAATTACGACAAACAGTAGTAGCGCCGTTTCAACTGTCAGAGATTTGTGCGGCCGAACTGAAACTGAACAGCCTCAGAGCTTCTGAGCTCAGTGGCAATCCTGAACCCAAAATGCTGCGCAGTCGCTTAAGTCGGTGCCTTATTTGTAGCAAATTGTTTGTGGCGCCAGCGTTACAACAAAACAAATGCAGGCACAGCCTAACAAGCTGCACAAATACAAGCAGCAAATACAAATACAACATGCCCCAGGCCGTTGGGGGTCGAGTGAGAAGTTGGGGCCATTTGTAAGCCTTCCCCAAAAAAGGTAACATTGGAATTCAATCTTAAAGCCATTTGCAATTAATATCAAATGAAATTGAAATAAATTTCAACAGAATTGCGAAGCCACCTACAAGCAAGCACAAAGCACTGCACTACCGTATTATCCCAAGCCTCATATATACAAACCTGAACCCGAACCCGAACGCGATCCCGAATCCACTCCAACTCCAATTCCAATTCCTTTGCCTCTTGTTGCGAGTCGCTGATTTTCATCATGCGTTTGGGGCAGCACCAACAGCAGCAGGGGCAGCAGCAGCAGCAGCTACTGGAGCAGCAGCACAGCTTTCGCCTGTGCTATGAGGTGGTCAGTGAGCAACTTCAACCTTTTGGCTTTAAGCTAATCTCCATCGTACTATTCCCAATCCTATTCGCTCTCTTTCTCTCTTATTCCCTTGCTCAACAATAATTTTATCAATTTTGTTTTATAATTGTGCGCAGCTGTAACGACTGAGCAAGAAAAGTGTGACCAACGCTTCGACGGTGAATTAAAATTGGCTCTAATAATTATGTTCGAAATAGCCCTTTAAATTGACAATCCAATAAGTATTTGATTAATCAACTGATTTATTTATGTCTATATAAATGCAGAATTAATTTTAAAAAAAGGAAAAAAGGAACACAAATGCAATAAATAAATTAAATTATTTTAATAGCATTTTACTGTCATGTGAAAATTCGAATACCAATAACCCCATGCAACTAAAATTTAAAAACGAATCTGGTCACACTGTTCATATGTCCTACTCTGCTTGGGTCAACAGTAAACTACGCAGATTTCATTGTTTTTAGCCCGCCATCAGCAGCAACAGCAACAGCAGCAGCAGCAGCAGCAGCATGTAAATGTCCGTGTTGTTGTTTGTGAGCCGGCCAAGTGGCCAAGTGGGCAACTGTGGGTAGCTCCAGAGGCTCTGTCCGCTTGCCCAGGAGGCTTGTTGCTGTTGTCTTAAATTAATACCAAATTGTCAACGTTTGCAAAATGCTGCAAGCTGCACCAACGCCACATGATAAGACGCAAGACCAACAGCAAGAGCACTACCAACAACAACAGCAGCAAGGCTTAGACCAGCTCTTGGACTGGGCCTGGGACTGGAACTGCCGCTGCGCATGCGTTTCGGATCTGTGTAAGTTTAGCGAGTGGCTTTGGCTTTGGGTTTGGGTTTTGTGTTTGGGTGCTTTGTTTGTGGCTTTCGCTGGCGGGTTGCTCGTTTTGGTCTCGCTTGGTCTAAGGTCTTCGATGGTCGTCAATTGATAGCCAGATTTGTGCAATTATCATTTTAATAATTGCCAACAATCTGCACGATATGAACCAACGCTGCAACAGCGACTGCTACTGCAACTGCAACTGCCACAGCGACACTGACAGTGACTGCTGCCAGGACCAGGACCCATTTAGCTTCGCTGTGTGTTCTTTGTGATCGTGCTCATAACCAGTAGCCACAGCGCCTTTTATTTAGCCTTTCCGCATTTAGCCTGTTAGCCAGGCCAGGCATCTACATAATAATAAATTTATTACAGATTTCCGTCTGATTTGTTGTTAAGAATTTGTGCATTGCCCATGCGGAAAGCAGCAAACTGCCAGCACCCACTGTGAGACAAATAGAATACACTTAAATGGTTGCCCACTTAAAAGATGACCGCAGATTGTGCGATAAATCAGTGAAGATCGCACTGCGTAGGGCAGAAGCGGCATTCCTACGCGCCCAGCTTTCAGTGCATCGAGAATCCAGATCAAACCACATCAAATCACAGTTCTAAAATAGCTCAAAATCTACATAATTCCAAATTTAAATATAATGGTCTGGTAACAGAAAACAAAAACAAAAAAATACGAATATATTCAAAATTTGATCAAGTCTGCTTTGAAAATGAAGGATTTGCTTGCGGACATGACTACATCCACCTGGCAAGTGATTCAGATTTAAAATATATATAATACTAATTTTAGAAGCGTCACTACAAAAGTGCAATACCTTCTAAAAGGTTACAATGAATTGGAACTGCTGTTTAGAGTCTCTGAAATTTGAGTTCAAATTAAAAATAATGAACCATCTGTCTAATCTGTTGGACTGGGAGCTCGAGTATAAAAACAAAGCAATATTTTATTTACTTAAAAATCTATACATAAGAAAGAATAAAAGCAAAAACATACTTTTTTTGTTTTAAATTTGGGTGTGCCACATTTCGCCCCTATTCTTTTATAATAATAATAATTTGCTACGAGTATTTGATCAGATTGCTTCTTAAATAAGATAGAATAGTCATAGAAACCGTTTTACTCCGGAGAATACCGGTAGGAGTCACTTTTGAGTCATAACAAATTGTAAATCAAATAACCGTTTCCGTTTTGACTGCTTCGGGTCACAAATCAAATGCAATTCATTGCGACTAACGGTTCGGCAATACGTTGGTCTAAGGCCAAAAACTCACCTTCACCATGCCTGTAAGTGGTAAGCAGATAAGAGAGACCAACGGCACATGGACAGCACACAGAGACAAACCCGTTTGCCCAGCCAGGCCGAGAGGCGACTAAGTCAACGCCCATCCCCGAACAGAACCAATCAGCGACGAGCTCGCGCCACGAGCCACGATTCAAGCGGCCAAGCAGCCAAGTGTAGAGGCATTTAAGGTGCTCACAACACCGAGAAACAGAAGCCAACGCGGGATTTGTTTTTGTTTGACAAAGAGGCAAATGCCAAAGTGTGTGTGAGAGAGAGAGAGAGTGAGGAGAGGGAAAGAGAGCGAGGGGCGCGATATGCAAACAAAGCTGAGGGTGTGACTGGGAATAAATATGGGGCAGACAAAAAAAAGAAGAAAGAATAAAAGTTAAATAGAAAATGGAAATTGTTTACGATTTACTCAGTTGCTGTTACCTGTGCATATCAAACGATGATGGATGTGCACGCGTCTGGCATAAGGTGAATCCGTTACAAAAACCGTCAGGCGGCTTGCGGCTACCGCTAACCCTCGAGCAACGGGCAACGAGCAACGGGCAACGAGCACCGTGCGAACCCCGAGTAGGGCTCTCTCTTTTTGAGGCACACTTTTGTGCGCGCTCTGAAGCGCAACGAGTGCGATCAACCAACCAACCAACCAACAACCATCAGCCCTCATCGCAGTAGTTATAATGAATGACTATCGGGGCTGATATGGCATAGAGCTATAAAAAAAAAACCCCCATTGGGTTTTATGCATGGAGATGTATGTCTATGGCATGCTTCGCTTGAGCTATTGTGGCTTGTGGCACGCTCGTGTCTTGGAATGTCTTAGGGGGTGTCTACCAGTTCCGATCCCCGACCAACTGACTGACGGACTGATGTAATGGCGTGCACATGTCCTTTAATATAATGCAAAGGCATACGAGGAAATTGCGCCAAAGCAACAAAAGAACAAGGAACAGGATCGTTAAATGGATGACAGTCGTCCGAAGTGTGCCCGCGTTTTCTTTTCTTGTCAGGCGTAACCTAGACAGGTGTGGGCCACAGCAACATAAACTGGAAATAACTTAGCACAAGAGGCGACCAAGCGAGCAAAGATGAACAACTAAGGGGCACAGGAGCGATAAGGACGAATAACTAAGGAAAAACGTTGACCGTATGTACCTATGAAAGGTGCATCTAAATACTGCCATCAAAAAGCAGGTGATGAATTATGATTTTTAATTGATATTGCCTTTGAAATGGCAAACCAAATTTACGACTTTTCCTTTCATATTTTAAGTGTCTTATAGTAAAATAACTATTATAATATTCAGAAAAAATGCTGCTTATAAGAAGATTGACATTTACTTGTATCAGATATGACACAACTCTTTAAAATTGCTGATTCATAATTTAATATTAAACACGCCAAGTAAATAAATAAATAAGTTTTTATAGAAGAGTAATCTCAGAATATCACTTATTATATAGTATCGCCAGCAGCAGAGTTCTTAAAACCTTAAATTTTCCAAGAATCTTAGCTTGCAGTAGGGCAAACTTTAAAGATGACCAAAAGTTCCTCTAGTTGAATTCAAAGGATCCAACCTTGCATTTATCTCTATATTTTCACTGAGAAATATATTTATGTATTATCCATAATTTCAGCATATTAATAACAAAATTTAAGTTTAGTTGCGAGCAATTAGAATTTAATTTTCAATTAAGAAATAATTGAATATAGCCAGTGTCAATTTAAATTTAAAACATTAAAGATAATAAACTGGATGCAATTCGATATTTAAATCTACTTATATTTAATTGTAATATTTGTTAATCTGATAATCTGTCTATACACAAGCAGCAAACCGCTGACACTCCCGGATTACTCTGATCAATGTTTGCGTTTGTTCTCACCCCCTCGTGCCAATGCAAACATCCTTCGGCCGTTGCCTGGTCTACACTCTCGTGCACATGAGTGCAGCTAAGCTGAGTCACAAGCCCAATCCCTGAGCTGGCCAACAGTTGGTGTCAGTTGCGGCAACAACAACAGCAGCAGTAACAGCAGCGACAGCAAATACTGTAACAGTTACAATGCAAAGAGAACAGCGGGACGAGGGCAGCACTGCCACAACAACAAAAACATCAACAACAACAACAACAACAGCAACAACAAACGCCCGCCAAACTTTAACTGCATACCAATTAGTTGAGAAACGCGTGCTGCCAACAACAACAACTGATATACAAACAAGAGCAACAGCAACAGCAGCAGCAGCAGCAACAATAACAACAACAACAACAACAGGAGCTGCGCACGATCAAAGCAACTGATAGAGAGGAGAAAACACAGGAGGCGAGGGCTCTGGCTCTGACGCTGGCTGCGTAACTGTGTGTCTTGACCCTTACAACATGCAGGACAACAACAACAACAACAACAAAAACAACGGCCGCCAACTGCTGCCAAAGGTGAAAAACCAGAGTTGGCAACACACGCAAACACACACACACAGGGAGAGAGAGAGAGAGACACGCAGAGCCACAGACAAAAAGGGCTCAAGAGCCACCACTAAAGTCAACATTTAAGCACCAATACGAATGCAATGAGGGTTCGTTTTGATTCGGCTCACACACACTTAGCCAGAGCCTCGATTTTCGGGCCAAGTTGTAGTCGCTGTTGCTGTTGGTAGTAGTCGCCTTTGGCTGGCACTCGCTTCACCGTTGGCTCAATTTAGAACCGCACAATCGGCCAAAGATTCAGTCAGGTGCGAAGCACCGAACGATACAGACGTGTACGTCTCTCACTGTGAGCCAAGTTTCATTTTTGAAGATCTGTTAACCCAAAGAATGAAAAATAAAATAGAAATATTCTATTAATCGATCAGTTGGAATCAAACAAAAATATATATTTCGTTTGCTCGCGAAACTCTCTCTCTCCCTCTCTTTCTCGCTCACGGCCACTTGTGCAGTGCTCGACCAAAATTTATGAGAAATATTTAAACAAACTGTTGGCCCGTTCGCCAAGTGAATAAAGTGCATTTAGACCAAAGTAAAGAGCCAGTGTTCAAGGCCAATATGAATCATTTGTCACCGCCACCATCGCCGCACTCGCAGCCAAGTCCAGCGGGCTACGCGGGTCCATCGCTGGACAAGCAATGGATGCAGCGGGCCTCAGCCTTCAATACTGTGATAGCATCAGCAGCAGCCCACAAATTGAATAACCGAGGTGAGTTTTATCCACTCCAAATGACGACGGTTTTAATGAGATTTCAAATGAAAAGTTGCAGCTTTGCTGCCAAATACAGCTACATCAATTCTCACAGATTCAATTTTCTCTAAGCTTTATCATCCTAAATGTTAAGCTTTAAATTCCTTTGTCAAAGTGGGATTAATACATTGACTAAAACTTGATAGACATTTTGAGAGCAGTTTATTTAAAATAAAGATCATATCTCGAAAATTTGCTATGAATTGCTATAAATGCTAAAGTGTTTGATCTTTATGTATATTAACATTGCGATTATTTGTTGGCAATCTTCCGAAACACTTACAGATCTGCCCTTCCTTTACAATCCGCTGCTCTACTCGAGCGCTCTGCTCTGGCCACAATTTTTGCTCTCCTCGGCCTCAGCGCTGGGAACACCTTTAACACCCATGACTCCGAAATCGCCCGCCTCGCTTGTGCTGAACCAAAAGGATCGCGACTATGCGCTGACACCCGAAAAGGATCATGAGCTGCAGCACAATAACAACCTGAAAGAAAACAAAGAATTGCTGCTGCAGCAGGATGAGGAAATGCCTCTGAATCTGAGCACCAAGCAGCGCGCTAGAGATGATTCGGATCAGGATCATGATCACGATCAAAACAGCAGCAGCAGCAGCAGTAGCAGTGGCAGTCTAAGCGGAGCCAGCCTCAGTGATGCTGATCAATCGTTGCAATTGGGCACACTCAGCAATGCCACGCCCCCTCCATTGAGAGCAGTCAATCTAAAGACAGTTAGCTCGGCAACTCCACAGCAGCGTCGATCGCAGGGGAATATCATTTGGTCCCCAGCTTCAATGTGCGAGCGCTCGACACGGCGTGAGGCATTGGAGGCGACTGCATCGGCAGAGGAGTACGATGAGCAGCATGTGGATCCCATAGTGCGTAAATTTAAATACGAGCGACGATCGGCTGCATCAATATCCTCACAACAGTCGCCGCTATCCTCGCTGGTGTCCTCGCATACAAATGTCGCACAGGATCTGGACTTTGATACAGCACAGCAGCAGCTGTATGCGCATCGCAGCGCCTTCATGGCCGGTCTCACTGGCAACAATCTGGAGTTGCTCACACAGCACCTGAAGACGCAGCAGCAGCAACAACAACAGCAGCAGCAACAACAGCAGCAACAGCAACAACAGCATAAGTCGGCTAAGAGCGAGGCAGTTGCCGAGCAGGACAGCAACCGTTCGGCAGCGGCTCTCATGGGTCTTGTGGCAGCCGCCGAGTTTGGCTATATGCGTAATCAACACCAGCAACAGCAACAGCAACAGCAACACACGACCAAGCACCAACAGCAGCAACAACAGTTGCATCTACATCATCATCATCATCAGCAACAGCAGCAGCAGCAGCAGCAGCAACATCCTGATTCAACTGCCACAGATGTTGCGCGTCGTTCGTCCTCCTCATCATCGTATCAAGGCGAGTGCGAGGAGAAGCGCAGTGGAAGAAATTTTCAGGTAAGCAGACGGGAAGTTGACTTCTCTTTTTTTTATTATTTGGATTTATTCGAGTCGAATCAAAGTGGAAACTGAAACTAGGGCCGGAAGTGCAAAAAGCCAGCAAAATTATATTTGTATATCTTCAGGATTTCCCATGAGTTTAGGCATGTTTATCTGCAGGTACTTTCTTTAATCTTACGCATATTACCTCGTAAATCTTAGAGGGGGAAAATCTATTTGAAATCTGTAGGCCTTGTCCTTGTCTCTAATGACTGTATCACGTGACATCAGCCGAAGGTTTTCTTCCAAGCACTCAATCCTTCGCTGAGTCCCGTCTGAATAATGTCCAGTAAAAAGTACATAAATTGCATAAGTCTCCAAAATATATTAAACATTGCGTGTCAGTCCACTTACAGGAGTCCCCCGTGTTAATTGTTTCATATTTTGAAGGTCCTGTCACATTTTAATTGCTCATTGCTATCGATAGGCAGACCGACCACCCGTTTCACGCACAGGATACGATGCCCGCCCATTTCAATTTGGAAAAGTGGCACAGCAAATATATATATGTATAATGCAATAAAGTACAAACTGTAGGTGCTGTATTTGTTGAACTCTTCCATGGAAATTCAATTAGGCACAATCGAAATCACGCAATTAGTTAATCAAATAATTTTGATTATTTTTCGAAGCGAGCGTTTTGTCATTTTCAGAGGGTTCCTCACGAAGATTTATGTACAAATTACGCACAATGTTTGGCCCAATAATAATTGTCGTTATGTTTAAGGCCTCTTAAGCATTTTTGTTTTTCTTTTTTTTGCTCTTGCCACATTAGGCAGCGAGGGCACACGACCACGACTGACATACGAACTCAAGACCTAACCAAAGGGAGGGGCATGGTCATGCTCTGACTACCCTCGCTGTCAGTTTATGTTTTTATCAAAGGCACTTCAACACCCGCGACAGGCAACTCTGTTTTGTTTTTTTTTTTCACACATTTAATGCCTATGGCAGGACGGGCTTGGACTCAAGTGAAATGTGATAGCCATGCAGGGTTTCCAGGGCGCAGACATATGGTCGAAACAGTTGCTCGAGTCCTTGACGCAGGCGCAGCATGTTATACTTCGTTTTTTTTGCCCCCCTTACTTGGTCATATTTTTTTGTAAGTCTTTACATCTGTTGTTGAATATGGATATGGTGTAAGCTGTGCTGCGCTGCCCACCCGGAGTCTGAGTTTTGGGTTGAGTCACGTTGGGGTTTCTACGCGAGAGTTTTGCCAACTTCCGTTTCGGGCCGAGTTGAGCAAATTGACATTATGGCTCAGACTGGCTGTAACAATGGGGCAACTAATTGGGGCTCTGTCTAGGCATCGATACATACCAATAACGTTGCCGCTCAAATGCAATCCACAAATAGAAAATCCCAAAAAAGAAAAAAAAAGAAATATTAAAAAAAATACAATAAGAAATTGTCGTTTTTTTTTTTGTTTTTAAGCAGCGCACTTGTGTAAATTTACAGTATGCGTAGGTTTTCGAAAGGTTTTTCTCAGTTTATTTCTACGTATGTTTCTTTTTTTTTAATAAATGTCGCACACGTAGCCAGCTCAGCTAGGTGCTTGGATGGGTTGGGAATGGGATTGAGTTGTGTCAATACGGGAGCGACAATGTTTAGATACTTGCATGTTGCAGCAACACAAACTGTTCAAACATTTAATCTTAATGCGAAGATGTTACGGGGTAGACGGTTGCAGTACCCAGTCCCAGTTGCACTACCTCGATTCCCAAGTCCCAGTCTTCGGTATCCAATGCTCCACAGCTGTGTTTGGCCTACAAATAGTATGAAAAAGTTAATATCATTTAATATCAACTCCATAGCATGCCATACTTATTACGGAGAAATGTATTTCACTTGAGATTTAACATTGAGTTAAGCTGCTATTTGATTAGCTGTTTCTCAAAAATAAACGCAAATATATTTTGATATGGAGGCCGACGCTTGCCACAAGCTAATGTTGCGGCTCTCTCTCTCTCTCTCTTTGGGTTTTACCCCATATTTCGCGCCGCCTGTTCCCAAATATTTGCGCACTCACAAATCTTAATTCATAAGTCAAAAAAAAAAAAGAAAAAATAATTTAGCACATACATTATTATGTTGCTTGAGATTTTTTGTTTGCCGCGACATATTGTTTCAGTTTCAGTTTCGTTTTCGGTTTCAGGCTGTCCAAATAACGATTGTTGTTTTGGTTGGAGTTGGGGTATTTTTTGGATTATTGTGACTCGTTCTGTGCAAATACATATACATATAACATGTTCCAATTCGCACTATTTTCTCAACAGTGTAAACAGTGCGGAAAGTCGTTCAAGCGCTCGTCAACTCTATCCACACATCTGCTCATACACAGCGATACCCGGCCATATCCCTGCCAGTATTGCGGCAAGCGATTCCATCAGAAGTCCGATATGAAGAAGCACACCTACATACATACGGGTAAGTTGAATGAGCTCTCTCCCTCTCCATCTCCCTCTACCACTCCACGCCCTGGATCACTGAGAGATATTAGCATATTTGATAAGAGGGGTAGTCACCTGAATTGGCACAGTTGCAGACCCACATGAAGTTTACGCTTTTCGTGTGATGAAAACTATTCAAAAACTATTCAAAAACTATTCATAATGTTAAATTAAATCAAGAATGCTGCTGAGCCTGAATTCAAATCAAGTTATTTATTGAACGTTGAGAAGATTTAATCAATCACTGAAAAAAATTAAATCATTAAATCGATCACATTATTAAATTCATTGCCAGTCAGCCAAATGTTATGCAAAGTTTTAACAAATTAGTACAAATGTGTCGAGCATAAATGCCGTAAACTGGCTTCGCATGTCACCCTCAAGTGATTTGGAGCCACCCTCAATTTAGAAGTTGCGTCCATTAAAATCAGCGAGCGTCGTTCTAGATGCTTATCAGCTTTCAATTTGTCTAATTGCTCAAAATAATAGTAGCGACATGTAATCGTATAATTAATAAACTGTATATTCATTATAATAATTGTTTTATTGATTTCCGTCTCTTTTTTTACCAGGTGAGAAGCCGCACAAATGCACCGTTTGCCTAAAGGCCTTCAGTCAGAGCTCCAATCTGATCACGCATATGCGCAAACACACCGGCTACAAGCCCTTTGGTTGTGGACTCTGCGATCAGTCGTTCCAGCGGAAGGTGGATCTGCGACGTCATCGTGAGAGTCGCCACGAGGAGGCAGTTGGCGCTTTGACGCCGCCTGCCATCAAAATGGAGGTCAGCAGCAGCAGTTGCTAATCGATCTGACAATCTGTAGATAAATAGATATAGCCCGTATCAGCTGAGACACACGCCAGACCCAGTAGGATTAGCCGAAACACGAAACCCGTAACCCGTAACCCGAAACCAGTTAACACGTTGGTCGTCTAAGTCGTCGCTATAAAGCCAAAGTTTGTTTTGTTTAGGCACCCAAAATATACATGTACGTATTGTTAGGGGAATCGATTGAACATTTCTCCCGCACTAGTTGTTTTGCTAAGATATATTTCTGCTCAATTTTAGACCTAAGATTTGTACATATATTGACAAAACACACACAAGACTTTTCTAAACTGTAGACCTAAATATATGACTATGGATAAGTAAATATAATTTAGATTTAAGCTAACATTATTTATTGAATAGTTAATGTTTTTAAACTTTTGTATTTGTTTTATCCCACAATACCAAATCCAAAATTGGCCTAGTAAAAAGCAAAGAAAACGCAGCTAAAAGTACCAAAGACTACAACAACAACAACAACAACAAGAACACTTGGCAAAAGCGTAATTGAAACTAAAACTGTCGAAATTTTTGTCTGTATCATTGTTTAATTTACGAAATATTTATTATTATTCCACTATTTAAGTCTTTTTAAAAATGCCCCTTATTTATACCATATGCTTATATTAGTTTTTTTTAGTTTTATACCAATTATATAATTTCTACAAAATCATTTCTTTGTAATTAATTATGTTTAGTTGTATTTTATTTGGCAAAAAATAAAGTTGAAAGCTGAAAAAAATTGAATATTTTATTTATGGGTTGATATTTATCGAGTTCCTCTACTTTTTATGGACGAGAGATAGAATTTCGAAAATTCTTTAATAAAAAGATGCTGTAGATGAAATTTTTTGTTTCAAAATTCCATTTGAAATATGTTTTATTTTTGCGGATTATCTTGAATAAACTTTGCACCAAGTAATACGAAATTATTTAAATTAGTCTATCTGTCAGTAATAAATATAATATAAATATAAATATGCTATCAAGGACGTTGCATATGCAACCCTTGCGGTTTTCAGCAGCTGAACTCATGTGGCAAAATTGAGCGAGACACACCAAATATGTTTCTGGGCACCCCAAAAACCTGATTTTATAGTTAAATTTTTGCACGTACTCAATTGGAGGTACACGGTCTCTTCCTGGCAACTGGCAACTGGCAGCAGGAGTTGGGGAACTGCTCCTGTTTCGGGTGCCGCGGTGATCTTTGATCTTTGCTCATTGCGGTATGCTAGGAATGCGCTTTGTAAAAGGCCGCGTTACAAGCAGCGTTTTTCCCATTCAGTTGGTGGGGTACGTCAAAACGCCAATAAGTGTTCGAAGTTCGGGCTAATTGCGCCCGAGAGTTGAGAGTGAGACAAAGAGAAAGAGACAAGTTGAGGCAGCAGTGATCGGGAGCGATCATCGAACGATTGCCGATCGCAATTTGTGCTAACCGAATGTCAATGCGTTTTTCGGCACTTTAAAACGCCCGAAATGAAGTTTGGCAGTTTACAAATCACCGACTTTTCGGGCGCGTTCATTATTGCCATTCATCGGTGAGCAGCAATCAAAATCGGCAAATCATTTGGAAAGGATTTCACTTTGGGCTGCTCAGTTTGCCACTTGTGCTGTTGTGCACTGCTCTTCTGCTTGTGGCATGCAACAAATTGATCGAAATTGACAAAATATTGGGCAAAAAATGAGAACACATATACATACATACATACATACAGCAGCGATCAGAAATATGCAGTTCAATTGCATTGGCGGCTGCAAAACAATTCAGCTCAAGGACCTTGGTCAAGTGCCGACAAAGCGATAAATTGCTTATCGAGTAGTCAAAGAGTTGGAGTGAGGCACTCGATTCTATGTATGTGGCAGCCTTAAAGTATTCCATAATGTATGTTACGAAAGCGATCATTATAGTAAAGTATATACTCTTATTTGAACTAGAAGTGGATAAAATATTGATACATTTTACAGGCAGGTTAAACTTAAAATAAATATTTACCAAATTTCATAGGTTTCGATTTTAAAAATATAAATTACAGCTAGTAACAATGAGATGCTTAACAGTTTTTTGTTGGCTTGCTAAATTTGTCTTATGCATTTTCATATAAAATGTATTTCTGACAAAAAGCTTTTACTTGTTAGCAGACATCACTGCTGCAAAAATACAGATATGCAAACAAATTTCAAAAGCCAGTGTCTAGCTTGAGTTTAGAGAGTGGTACTTGAGAGGAAGATTGTAGCTGGCATATGGTGGCTTTAGGTTTATTAACCCCTAATCAGTTAACACCTGAGCCCACATAATTTGTCTTGCCATTTGAATTTGTATAGCAGTCAAAAACAAATAAACGACAGGCCCCCATAAAAAACAAACGAGAAGACAGTTGAACAAAAGCTGCGCTCAGCTGCAACTCCAAAATAGAAAAGGAACTCAAGTGAAAATTAAGAGGAAATAATCTTAGAAATGCCTTGAAATAGCCTAGCTGGGCCCGCAACATATCCGTTTTCCGGCTACCCCTAGCCCAAAAGGTGCACGGGCAGGTGACTTTGACTTTGGCTATTAATAAAAATAATAGTTGCGGCTAAAAGGTGAAGCGGTCGAGCGAGGATCCGAATATATATATATGTATGTATGTATGTAGATACACATACACATATGTGCGTACGTGGAGGCCATCACATGAAAAAAAGATGTCTTAGGTCAGGACTGCGACTGGGACTGCGAGGCTGCTGCAGGTGAACCTAAGCGAGGGCACAATTAAAAGGCCGACGAGGGCTGTGGCAAAAGGCACCTGTAAGCAGCGAACAGCGAGAAATGAGCAGCCAGCAGCCAACAGCCAGCAGCCAGCAGCGAGGAGTGAGCAGGAGTCGGGAAAAAAGGCAATGTTACAGCGGCTGGGCTCATTTATGTTTATGTCCTTTCGTTGTAAGCAGCGCTGATTCCGATTCCTTTTTGAGCCGCACAAGTGGCGCGCCAGCACCTGCTGAATCCTGCTGGAACCTGTCGTTGTCATCGTCTTCGTCCTGGCTCAATAATTGTGCGCCAGACGACGCGTGCTCAAAGCCGGTTTGCTGCAAAAACATATGCCATGCTCCACAGTCGAGGTAAATTACAACAGCAGCAGCACAACACCAATGCACCAATGCACCACTGCACCGCCAGCGACCGGTCGGTCCAATTGGCATGAGGCACACGTCACCAAAGCCACCGAGCCAGCAGCCAACAGCAGTCATAAAAATCTGTCAGGCAACCACAAAACAGACGGAGATCAAGATCTAACTGCAATCGACGTCTAATCTAGGCTTATGCACCTTGAGGGAGTGTGCCGCAAGCTGACGCTTGCCAAAACAAAAAACAAAAAAATACATAAGCAAAAACAAAAACAATAATAACAAGAATGAACAGCTATTTCAGGCACGCCGAAGATTGCATACTCTTGCGCAATGTAGAGCGAAATCTTTTCTGACTGCATGAAGAAGACGGATGTGTTTTATTCAGATTACCTATAAACTGGTAGATTAGTTTGCTTATAGATATCATAATGCTGATCTAGTATAGAATATAATCATATTGGTCGCAGATTTCAGATTTACGAAGTTCACTACGAATGCTATACACTCTGCAAGGGTACAAAAACCAAAAAACCAAAGGAAGATACATGCGATCAACACGCCAACAACAGCAGCAAAGAAACAGCAACAACAACAACAATTGCTGCAAGTGTGCCAGCACCTGTCACGCTCATCGATCGATATTACAAGCGGCCAGTCCAAATGACCCAATTTTCATGAGCCTGAGCCTGAGCCTCTGCCTGAGCCTGGCCTGAGCCTGAGCCTGGCCTGAGCCTGTGTCTCAGACTTGTGCCTGAGCCTGAGGACTGATCTCATTTATTTGTGAGCCTCCTCTTAATGTGTTTTCTTTGGCTTGAAATTGATAAGTTATGATTACAGCAATATCTATTGTCACCTGCAGGATGAGTTGGGGAATTTTGGAATTTATGTAGAATTGATTGTTTGAGATTGACATGGAGAGTGTGGAGTCGGGCTCAATTCAGCAGCAGCTGAATGTTGCACATGCTGTAATAAAAATCAGCTCATAATCGTTGCTCCTATTTATTATATCGTCTTATGATTTTCAAAATTAAGGCCTTTTTGATCATGACTTGGCCTATTGATCAATCCTACATTTTAAGTTGAAACCGTGATTTTAGGTCGAAATCCATATGAACATTTAAATCTCAGAAATCTAAAAAATCATTTTATGGGCATACGTCGAAATTTTCCAATTCGAACTTTATCTGTAAACAAATTTATGATTTATTGAATTAATTTTTTTGTTTTTTAGATTTGAATTGTTTCAATTAATATTGTTAAATAATCAAAATTTTACAAAAATGTTGAGTGAAATTTGTATGCAATGGGGAAATGTAATAGGAAATAGTTAAGCAAGTTCGCTGGCCAAATCAGAAGCCAGAAGAGTGCCAACTAGTCACCAAGTAGTCGTCTCCCAGTCAGCCAGCCAGCCAGTCAGTCAGCCAGTCATTTAGAGATTAGCCTTACCTTACTTTGGAAAATCTTAAGCTCGTTCGATTTGAATGCACAGCATTGACAAGGGAAAGCAATGACAAATCCAAGTCAAATATGCAAGCAACCCCTAAGGTGTTGAGCAAACCGATAGAGAGAGAGAGAGAGAGGGGCGAATTGAAGTGAGGAAGCACGAGTCAAGTGGCAGGCATAAGACAAAGCAGATTGTGAAATCTATTTAAACAGCTTAATTGGCAACAAAACAGCCACAGCCAGCATAAGAAAAAGAAACAACCCGCAGACAATGGGCCAATCAGCAGCTTAGGTACGAGTGCTAACTGTAGCTGTAGGGTGAAAAAACCCAAAGCGAAGCGAAACGAAACGAAAGAGTCAAAAGCCAAAGCACAGGCAGCAATTAAAATGACAAAATCTAAACACAAAATGGTACGGATTTTGCCATGTGCCACTCAGTCAAAAGGTGCAAGCCAATAAGAAGACCCAAGAGTGCAGTGGGGAGTCAAGAGTCAAGAACCAAGAGACCAAAAAGCAAGAACACAAAAACATAACCTGAGCACAAGGTGTTTTTTCTTTGCTTTGAGCACAAATCAATGTGCATGGCCTAAACACAGATTATAGACAGATTTGGAGGCAACAGACGGCGCAACAAAAGGACAACAAATTGCGGCCGAAGATGCAACACAAAACGAACGAGAAGGAGATGGAGAACGAGGACTCTCGACTCTCGACATTGGCAGCCCCGCAAGTCATTATAAGAATTTAAGCGCACCTTTTCATTTTGTCTGCGGATCGAGCAGCGACAGGTGCGCAACGCATGCGCGCCGAGAGATAAGCAGAAGTCGCCGAAGAGCATAGCGGTAGATGATGGGCCCGATGCATTCGGTTAGGTAAATGCTAAAGTAAATGCTGTAGATGTAGGGGTCGATCCTCATTGTTGCCACAGTTGCTGCTGCTGCTGCGGCTGCTGCTGCTGCTGCCACAGTTGCTGCTGTGCCAGATTCGAGTCGTAGCAACTGCGAGCTTCATGTTCGTTCGTAGGGCAAATTAATTCCTTGCCATATTTTATAATTCAACAGATGACACGAGCCAACAAAAGCCCCCAAGCAGCAGCAGCAGCACCAGCAGCAGCAGCAGCAGCAAAAGCTTAGCAAGAGGGTCCTTGGGTCTTAGGTACCGCTTATTGCGGCTCGTTTGTGGCACATGCCAGCGACCAGGATCTCTCTACTTCTGCTACTATTTCGAGGCACTTGCAACTTGCAGCCCAACTTGACTCTGCATCCACGATACTGTGACTGTAGGGTATGCTATTTTCGCTGTCGAACATGTTATTTAACCAGCTTGCGGTTCTCTTAGCCCTTTGGCACATTACTTTATTTATTTGAAAATGCAAGAGTTTCTTTTTTTGGTTTTTTTTTTTGTATTTGAAAACCTCCAAAAAATAAAAATAAGTAGTAGCAGTTTGTTGAACTTGCTGAGATGACAATGACCTTTTCTATGCAATACTCTGAGCTGGCAAGGGTTGCGGGCTTTTGTGGTTCAGCACCCTATAACTGCATTTTGGCAAACTACAGTTACAGTAGCAACTAAGGCACCGAACTCTACAGGTGGAAATGGTCCGCTTGTCACACTAATTTCTCAAAAGTCACTTTGGTGGGTCTGTTGATTGTTTGTTGTTTGCTGTTATTGTTTTTGCCTGGTGCGTTGCACTTTCACAGTTGCACTCCTGTCACTTTTCGTTTGTGTTCGCATTTGCAAACTCGCTCGTTTGTTTAATCCGTTGTCATGTCCTGAGTTGTGTTTATAGTTCTCACATGTGTATTGAATTGTTTGTTTTGGCTTTGGGTTCGGTTGTTGGTTTCGGCTTTCGTTTCGTGCTCTTCAAAACTACAGAAGTTTGTTGCAATATGTCGAGCACATAATTAGCTGATAAACATAGCGACAAGTTATTCGCAGAGGCATTGAACTTCCACGACAGGATCATTAGAGTTGACGAGTTCGAGGTGTTCTACAAACAGGCAGTTTAAAGTTTAATGAACTACTCCAGAGTTCGATAACTTGATCGAAGTCTATATTCGAGTTAAGGTGACAACGCTGCTTGTTATCAACGAAATTGAAATTTATTTATCTATTTATTTATTTAATTATTAGCTGGAACTTTTAATTCTTTCTACGATGCCAATAATAATAATATCAGATTTTGTAAAATGAATACTGCTCAGTGTTCGTTTAAAATGTCTCAAGCTCAAGCGTAACTTAAGTGCTGTAAAAACGATCGATTTAGTTAAATCATGAAATTAACTATATGATTTGAAGTTATATAAGACTACGTCATTTCCAGACGTCTTTAATGCCAAAGGATTGTTACCTGTACCCATGGTCTGGGCAGGTCATTCTGCGTCCTGGTCAATCAGATTAAAGAATACGTTTCACTCATGGGAAACTTTAATATTTCGATGCATTTTCGCTCGCACTGAGAGTGAAATTTCCCATTTTTGTAGGTTTACATATGACCCTACTATCTCCTTGAGTACAGTCTGACAGATTAGGTCCTTGCGGTAATTGCGCGCCATATCCTTCAATAATCTGTACTGAACTGTAAGTTGGACTTTTCTATTACCTTTTTGCTCCTAAAAGTATGCCTAGTTTTTGCTGCTGGAGGGCAGTTTTGCCAATACACCAACCTTATCCAATGCAGCAACCAGATAAAATATGTAGAATTTAGAAATATTTCCCTCTCGACAAACCAAAAAAGTTTTCGTTTGCAAATATATATCTTGAGTTGTCTACCTTTGTACAATCTATATTATTGGCTATCAAATTCAAATTAATATCTGGGATAGCCGAAATTTTCATTCTTTAATTCATTAGTTGAGATTTTTTCATATTTCGAAATTCCATCCGCAGTCCCTACAATATCAAAAATATCATCGATCAGGGTATTTGTCAATAATAAGTAAACAGAGAGCATGTTAATTTAAATTATTTATTATTATTATTATTAGCAATTAACTAAATACAATCATAGTGTTTGTATTAATCAATCAAAGTGTTGTAATCGTTCCAATCGACTTATGCGCTCGTCTAATCGCGTCAAGTGGTCGACGATTAAGTCAAGCTGAGTGGCACAAGCACAGCATTCGGATGTGGAGTCCGGTTCTATTGATACATCCAAAACCTGTGGAAAGTTTGCTGGTTATGCGATGGACTCGAAGGCGGTTTTCTGCTTGCTGTGTGATTTAAACTAGTTAAAGGAACGGTGTGTTGTGGATGTTCTTAAGTTCCGTGGCAAATAATTTCCGTTCGTGACGAGCATGAAACTTGGGAACTTGCAGTGTTTGTTGTTGTGGCTGTTGTTTGGGTGTGTGTTCGCTGTCAACCACCTGGAAGTGTTCATCCAGTGCACGATATGCCAACGATTCACGCGGATCGATGCGAATGCTCAGATCATTCGATGCCTTCGAGTTGGCATCGACACTCGACTTGGAGGCGGAGCTGGTGTCGCAACAGGACGAGGAACGAGATTTCTCCTCAAACTGTGAGGTATCGTAAGTGTGCAAATTCGATTGCCAGATGAGCAGCTGCAAGGATTACAGAAATTGGTAAGTAAATTATTATTATTACAGATGAAAAGATTGCTCACCTGACGATCGTTGCCTGCGGTGGCAAATTTGTTTCCATCCTGTGTGAAGGCAACAGCGTTGACCGCATCCGTGTGGCCAGTCAGCGTGTAGATGGGTCTGCCCTCGAGCAGATCTAGAATACGTATGCTCTTATCATCACTGCCAGACAGCAGAAAGTTGCCGCTTGGATGGAAGGCCAGATCATTAACCGGGGCCGAGTGCACCACATACATCTGCAACAGTTGACTGTTCATCACATCGAAGATCTTTATGCGATTGCAGCCCAGGGCAACAGCAACCATATTTCCCCATGGATGCCAGGCGACCTGGCGTGGCGCCGCCCGCTCCTCCGTAAAAATACGCACACATTCGCCGGTGCCCACTTCGTAGATGCGCAGCGATTTATCATCGCTAACGGTGGCTATCAGTTTGCCGTTGGGACTGAATTTTGCGGCACGCACCCAATTCGTTTGCTGGGCAAAGGACGAGATGAACTGGCGCCGAGAGACACGCCACAATTTGACCGCCTTGTCATCGGAAGCGGTCAACAGCATTTGGCCCGTGGGATCGAAGTCAACGCTGCGTACGGGTTTGCCATGGGCGAGAAACTCGCCAGAGACACCGCGCACCTTTGGCTCCCAGATCTTCACAGTGCGATCCTGACTGCACGACGCAATGAAATTCCCCTTGGGCGACCAACTTACGCCGTAAACAGCCGCCGAATGCGACGCGAAGCGAATACAGCGAGCAGCCTGCTTCAGATTCCACAGTATGACGGTGGCATCCAGTGAGCTGGTCGCGATCTGATTGCCATCGGGGCTGAAGCGCAGCTGCGTTATGTGACCCGTGTGTCCCGTGAAATGGCGTTCGAGTGCCGGATCACGAAATAGACTATTTTCCATTTTGTTGACTTTGTTCAAGCGGGCGGAAAGTTCTTGGGTATTTTAAAATGCCTCGTTAGTTCACAGTTGATAAGCAGTAGTAGTAGTATTTAATATTGTTAATTACAGCTTCACTTCAACTTTCTTAATATTGCTTTCTGTCTTTTTTAGTTTTGTGACACTTGCAAAATTCCGCTAGAATTTGAAAGCATGAAATGCGCAGTGACGCCAACTTCGATACAATAGTGTCGATAACAAATGTATAGCATCCTGCTTTTAACAGGCCACATGGCATGCAGTGCTGGTAAACGTTAAGACTAAGAGACTATGCAGCACTGATGATATTAAATCGATATGATTACAAGTTATCGTTAGAGTTATCGAAGGCACACCGCACACTTTTGGTTTCTTATTTGTGAAAGATTACCATTACAAATAACTAAAACAATATGTCTCTGCTGGCGCAGAGTATGCGTCAAGTGCTCCGTCACACAACGCAACGTGCAACGTTAAATGGTAAGTATTGAAGAGAGCGAATTCGAGGTAGTGACATAACATTTACATCTCACCCAACCCCTCCCCTCTGCAGGTGCAATGCGTGCGTTGAGCATAAATCAAAAATTGCAGCAGCAAAACAAACCCGCCACAATTGATGTGGCTGCCATTGCCAAGGAGCATCAGCAGGAGTGTCAAACGGTGTGCGAGAGAATTAACCAACAAGTGGCCAAATCGGAGCAGGGTCGTCTATTTGCCGTTGTCCATTTGTGCGGCAAGCAGTTCAAAGTTACACCCGGCGACATAATCCTAGTCGAGGGCTATTGGCCCCCAACGACTGGCGACGAAATTAGCCTGGACAAAGTTCTGCTAGCGGGTGCACGGGACTTCACCCTGATTGGCCGCCCCATGCTGGATGCAGGCCTAGTTATGGTGAAGGCCACGATTATCGAGAAGACTTTGACGCACACAAAGACACACTTCAAGAAGAAGCGCAGGAAACAATATATGCGCATCAATTTCCAGCGCTCCCCAAACACAATGATCCGCATCAATTCCATTGAGCTCACACGACCATTGGATGGCATGGCGGAGGCAGAAGCAGAGCACTCGATACGATTGTTCTAGAGTTATTGGCCTTATAAATCTTATTAATTTAAAATACATGTGTTTAATTATGCATAAAATGTGTGTAGGTATTTTATTCCTTAAAAGTGTATGTAGTTCCGTTTTTAGCCATTTTTTTTAAGGCTGCTACATCGAGCGGATGCCTTGAAAGTATTTGCATCCCTTAATACATTTTATGTACAATTTAATTCATATTTTACTTTTTGTTTTGTTTGGGGAATACAAACATTTGGCCGACATCCCAGCTGCAGTAACATTTCATATGCTGTTATTAACAGAGAATTGTTTAGTCTGTAGATTGATCAACACTGACACCAACAGCTGTCGGTGTTTATTTCTTTAAATGGTACGTGTATGAATATGCACAAAATGTGCACGTGTCCTTTGCCACTTTATGACACTTGCCAAATCGAGCTAACACCTTGAAAGCGTACTTGCATCTCTTACCTCATTTTGTATACCATTTAATTCATAATTTCCTATCTTTTTGTTGTGGGACATTAACATTTGTCCAACATCACTGCTGCAGTTTGCTATGCTGTTATGTTACAGAGAATGTTAAGTTAGTCAACACTGTCATCAACAGCTGCTTTTTTGTAGCATCTGGCAGCACAATTGGCAGTTAGCATTCAAATATTTACGCACTAGCATAGGTTTTTATACCCAACATAAAAGCTCAACTGCTTTAATGAATTATAAATTCCACTTTCATCTTGATGCAATGCCTTGTACATGATTTTTATAGCCATTCATTTGGTGTGTATTTGCCAAACGGCAACCTACTTTAGACCCGAAACGCAGTCGCCGCACGCCTTTTCTCTAATGAAGCAACTGCGGTGACTGTTGCAATTTTAATGACAACCTTTTATCAGGCATGTTGTTGTTGTCATCTTTCATTAAAAGACGTCGCCAGTCTGCAGGCAGAGGACGTGCAGATGTGGTTAACATACACACGCGAACACACACATGCACACATGCACACCTACTTGGTTTTCTTTATCAGCAGATGTAAGTTGGTTGCCTCGTCAGTCGTATTTGTTTACGTTCTGCGGTTGTGTTTCACTTTTGCTAAGCAAAGGTGTTTCCTTTTTAGTTCGAGCAGCTTTTCCTTTTGGCTTGGTAAACTTTTCGCAATGTTTTTCCCTGGCCCCATTTTTGAGCGAGTTGCTGCCCTTACCGAAGTCAGAAGTGCATGTTAAAGCGCAATGAGTTAAATAGTTGTAAGTTCGTAAGCCATTTATAGGTTACTTTTAACTAATGTCATCTGTTCACAGAATTAAAATGAAAAATAACATTAAATTTATGAAATAAAATAAAAATGACTTAATTTGACTTACAAGCTCGATTTTCACCTCACCCGGCTAAAAACCTTTTCACACTTGATTTGCCACCTCCCTTTCCCTTTTGTTGATAATTTACAAGGATGCCTTGTCATGTTGTTACTGAACATAAAATCACTTTCGCCTCGTCTTCTAACTATGTAAACGCCATTAAAAATTATGCTTCAGCTGCCACATCAAATTTTCAAAATTGCAGCTACCAAAAGCAAATTCAATTGCGAGTTTCCCTCCCCCCGCACACCCCTCTCTCTTTCCACACAATGCTGGGTGTAAGTTTTGCGCAAACATTCGAGGAGAGAAAAATGCCAGTGCACTTTGCTCAGGCACAGCGCAAATCAAATTTCAATATGGGAAAAATTACGTTTGGTGAACGCAAATTGAAACATTTTTCTTTGCGGCTAACATGGCAATCGAGAGGCAATCAGAGGTGAGAAAGATCTAACCTGATGCTGATTATAAGGGTGTCCTGACAGCGGTCCTTTGCTGATTATGTTATTTGCCCATGAAAATTGCATTTGATGTGAGTGTGACGACAACGACGGAAATTGCCACCATACGAATGTTTGCTTTCTATCCAACTTCTGAAACTGTATCTGAAACTCTAACCGACTCCGACTCCAACTCCGATTGCAACAGCCCCGGCAAAGAGCCTTTCCACAGCCAGCAGCAAATCCCATGTAAATGCGTCGCTCAACTTGGTAAAATTCCCTAAATTTATGCGTTGCGGCGTCTGATGTATGAGGCAGATGACAAGTAGCAAGGGGCAAGCAGCAATGGGTGGGTGTTGGTGAGGTGTGAGATAGTCAAAAGGATGGTAAGCGTGTTCGGCTTGTCCATCCATCATCAGCATCACTCAGTTTTGACATATCATTGAAATCTTAGCCCAACGTCGTCATCATCTGTGACGTTTCATTAACCTCCCCAACACCCCACAGCCAAACCCCCCGCAATCTCTCTCACCCGACTTCTCGAGGCTGCTGTCGAAGAACGGGGTGTTAATATCAACAAGCGAGTGTGCGACGCAATCTACTGATTTCCGCTTAACCAAGCCAAACATTGCATTTTTGATTAGCGCCAAAGGCAACCTAAGCCGTAGCCCGAAAATGTTGCCGCAGGCAAAAACCAGAAACACGCTAAGGGAATGCGTTGGCGAAGGGAAGTGGGAAAGTGGGCGTGCTTGGCTGCTGATGTTGATGTTTGAGGGGTGGGTGAATTGACTGACTGTTTGATATGCTGCATGGATGGGGGAGAGAATGGGATTGGGATTGGGGTCGAACAAACAGTTAAGATCGATAGCATCCAAAAAAATAATGAGGGAAAAGCTTGTTATTTTGTTATTATTGTTTTTATGCCCTGTATATGATAATGGATAATTGAGGGTGTGATGTAGTTGTGCAAGTGTATGTAATACGCAGGAGGAAGTATCTGAAATTTTTTCTTGAAAGTTGGCTGAAGTTGCTCAAGCCGTACAACTTATGGGGCTAAGCTGAAATTTTAATTTTTTGGCGGCCCGAGTTTGTGGTTCAAAGTAGTTAAGATCTATGCACAGGGTATTTCACTGTTGAGCTCTACAAAGAACAGCACTCATACCAGTTTTATTTGTCTTGACACGCACCTATTCCATATCTGATATTTGTATCTAGATTGATTTAAAGTTAAGAACTTTGTAAGAAATAGTCCAATTATATTAAGATACTTCTTCTAAGTAACTTCTTTACTCCTTCTTGACTATTTTGAATAATTTTTGCTTTGACTAGTTTCCTTCTTGCTTTCCTTAATCCTTGCAATAAGCGTTTGACCATTTCATAATTTAGATTTATTACGTCCTTTATTCTAGTTTTTAATTTCAATCATAAATTTAAATGCTCATTTTTAAATTTAATAAACAGTTCAGCTTTCTTACTACATTTTTCTAAATTTTGTGGATGGTTCTAGTTTGCATTAAGTAAACGATTAAATTGTTGACAAACACTTGAACTTTATCTGAAATGTATCCTATAATTTATTTGAGCAAATATCCTACTGCCTCAGGTTCATGTAAATTTCAGGTCAACGCACTCATCACAATTGTAATATATTTTTTTAAATTTAGTGTAAACACATATTTTTCTAACACGTATTTGATGCTCATGCGTCGCCTGCAGCATATTATATTTCCATTATCGTTCATTTTTCGATTTGGGGGATGATTTGTGTCATCTTGTATTTGAAAACTGTCTTGGAACTTTTTCACAAATTATGCATAAAATCGTAAAGAAGGGAAACACATTTCACAGATCCTTGGGGATATTTTGCTGTTCACTGAATTGCTGCTGATGCCAAAACTGATTTCCATCGTATGCAAGGGTTGTCAACTTTTCTGTTTTTGATAACCCGCTGCTAATATGACAGATGCCCCCCAATCCCAAAGCCACACCATGCCCCATGTTAAACACACACGTGCCAACCGACGTCGATTTAAATAAGTTTGACGTGCTGTAAAGTTGACAAAGTTTTAGTTAGTCGTGGAACTATCCGCGTGCCAAACGCCTAATGATGAAATTTCAATAAATGTCATTTGGTCTGTGCAAAGTGTCAACATGGCACCTACCCCTATCCCCCTAAAAACCCTACATCCCAATCTGAATCCTTTTGCACACAATTCCCATTTGAGTTGGGCACAGCTGTCAGCTTGTTTGGCGTCCGCGCTCAATGCGTTAATAATGACACTTTTTTTATGGTGTTCGCTGGTCTGTTTGGCTCTGTCTAACTAGCCTGGGTAACCAGTTGTTCTCGCAGCCCTTAAATTTAATTACTTTTTCATAGCTCATACGCACTGTTCGCTTGACAGACATAAGCGACACGAAGAGAGCGAGGGATAGAGAGAGAGTGAGAGAGAGAGAGAGAGTGAGAGGAGAGAGAAATTGACAGGCAGAGACAATGGCCGCTGGTGATTGAAACTCGTTTAAATTTGCATGTAGCAAGCAAGCGAAGAAATTGGCAACTGCGTTCGCACACTGATTGCAGACGAACACGCTGCATTGCACATTCGCCTGTACTCCCCACCCCCCGCCACTACAACCCCTTTGTCTACCACCCATATCCGAGTCACGTCATCAATAGTTGACAGTTTTATAGTCAGTTGTCGGTGATTGTCACAATGGTCATTTAATATTTGGACACTCGCTGCACGAATCTGTTTGGGCGTGGTGGACTCTGTTGTCCAGAGCTAACATATTTGATCAGGTTGCCATGCAGCTTATAGCGTTTATTTGATATATACATATGTATACAGGAACTACATATTGATATTGGTACTCGTACAGTGGACAATCACAGAGCTTGACCGAGTGCTTAAGGTACTATGGAGGAGGAGTTCTTTATTTAAAGATTGTTAATTTAAAGTTGGTAATTTCACATCAATAAATCATTTTTCTCATCATTTTAAAAGATTATTTTAAGCATTTAAAGTGATTGGCCCTGGTTGAAGTTGTTTTTGTAGTTTCGCTGGTGAACCATTTTGTGAGATTTTATGAACGATTACGATAACATACATATCAATCATTTTCATATTGCAAACTTACTTATTTTGTGAATTTCTTGTAAAATTAGTTCATTTAAATTTGACGTCCGAAAAGAAAATAAGTAGATGAACTCTAAACAATGCATCGAGGATTATCGATAGTTATTGCTGGCTCGAGTTCTTATTAAACCATAATTGGCTTACAGTGGTAATTGCTTTCACGTATCGCCTTTAAAACAGACGGCGGTCCAACCAATTGTTAATTTAATACATGACTGGCCATTATGTCAGACGACAGATTTCCATAATGGCTATTTCATTGGAAGCCAGAACTCTGAACGCAATCCCAATCAGCTCATCCACTCGATAGTCGGAGCGGAGGTTTTCCCGTTTACTTGCGGTTTTTGCACAAATTCAAAGCCTGACGTTGCCACCATGCCACATTTCCGGCCTCGAGTCGTGTGTGCGAGCGTGTGTGTGTGTGAAATATTAAAATTCAATTAAAATGGCGTTAATCCCGACAGCCAGCAGGCAATAATGCTTGCCGCTCGCCATCGTCTGTCATAAATGTCAACTCCTCCGGATATCCATCGATGTCATGTGCAGCGTACTCCACAACTGACATAATGATGCTCATCAGCAACTCCGTTGCAGCTGTTGCTGTTGCAGAAATTTTGTTGTGGCAACGACTGATTTAAAAAAAGAAAAACACATGCAAATTGCACTTCAGACGTCCATTTATCATCAATGCTCACCTGGTCAGAATCCGGCTACCAGACAGACACTCATTCATTCAGTTATAATTGTTAATTAATAAATATATCTATAGATATCTTGCTCCTGCGAGGTCCATTGAAATCATAGCATGCACCTGAACAAGAGCACTTCAATAAGCCATTCGCTTGAGACTCGACAGCTCTATTGACCCACTCACAAAAATGAAGGGAAATGAACTTATGTGAAGTCTAGTGCCTAGTGCCTAGACTAAAGTGTTGTTGACTTTTAATCTATGCAGTATGTTTAAGATAGCTCGATTATCGCAAAATCTGCTCATAGTAGAACATATATTTCACACGTTCGTTTCAATGGCAAATATCGAGCTTCGATTCTGCCGAGAATAAATTTATTTTATGGGATCTCCTGAGCCACTAATTTATAATTCCCTCTGCTAACTGCAAACAATAAATCAAGCTTAATTAATTGTTTTAATTTAAATAAAATATATATTAGTCAGTTGAGCATCTGAATTTGTTATCAACAAAAAATAACGAATGCTACGGATTATCGGGATTATGCATACATATGTGGAAATTTATATAGGATTTTAGTCTGGTCAGTTAAGGTCTGTAAGTTAAAGGCCTTAGTCGCAGCAGCAAATTGAATATATATTGAAAGTTGTGCTCACCTCCCTTCTCCCTTTGTGAAGTGTGTGGAGAGATGTCTGTTTGATTAGGCGTGCTGGCATCCAAATAAATACCAATAAACAGGTACGAACCTGAACACTCCCACAGAGCAGACAAACAGAACGTCAAGGTGTCGACTGTACACGCACTCATACCCACAACACCTCGCACACACACACACACACACACACTCGAAGGACGAGAGACCAGTTCAGGACCCCTTGTACACAATTGAGGTACTTGAGTCATCGAGTAGCGTTGCTTGAGTCAATATTTGAGGGAGAGCAAAAGTTTCGCTAACAATTTTTTCTATATTTTTTTCTTTCGCAACAGTTGGGATGAGTTTTGGTCTAGGGACTAGTCTCGCTACGGGGGAAAACCGTGAACTGACTGGGAAACATCTCTGTGTCTGCGCGGGGCGTTTCATGTCTTGACTTTGAAGTTGCAAAACTGCAGTCAGCGATTTGCTCGAGGTGTGTGTGCATTTTTTTGCGGCTGTCGTTTGTTAAATTTGTAAATTTAACTATTTCGTAGTGAACAGTATGTAGACTCACCTTCCACATATACGAGTACACACACTGAGAACGCCTCATTGATTGCCCATTTAGAACCGCAAAATTTAATTTATCTGCCATCAGTTGATGTTCTTGCGGTTTGCCAATACACACGCACTGTCTCCTGCTCGCCACCCACACCTTCACCCACAAATATTGAGTCAGACTCCCAAACAAAAAAGCTATCGCAGCCCCAAACCCAACAATGGTTGGCCCTTTGTTTGGCGTCTGTTTGGGGACCCATGTCAAAAATTGTACAACAGCAGCCCAGGCGCTTGGTTTTCTGATAACATTTGCTGCCGTTCTGTGTGTAGTGTGTGATTGTGTATCTCTCTCTCGGTGTGTGTGTGTGTGTGTGTGTGTGGTGTGCTGTGGTGTTTAAGATATCATCTGTCTCTGACGCATCCCAGTCCCAAAAGGCCACAACCCCTCCAACTCCAACTCCATCTAAAGCTCCAGCTCCGACACGAGTCGTGGCCAAACGTTGGGCACTTCCGCTCTGGCTTTGGCTGCCATTTCCACCTGCCGTTTGACACCTAAATTCGCTCATTGTTGGCAGCGTTGAGCGTTACTTTTATGAACTTGTAGCTGCCTGCGACTTCAACGGTAATCGCATTGACAACGCTCCGAAGAAAACCCCTACACTGACATCAAAATATTACAAAATTGACTTAATATTGAAATCAAATTTGAAAGCAAGCAATTGTGATTTTTAAATAATAAAATTAAATAAAAACTAAATACATGTCTTGTTTCCTTTACACAGGCACCATAAATGCTCCATTTTATTTTGCGCTTAGGTAACACATTTCACAAAAGTGTTGCTCTAAATGATTAGAAAATTTGTTTCAAAAATATAGAAACCTATTATTTGAATCTATAAAATAATGCTCTTTCACTTTCTAAAAAAAAATATATATATATATTATTGCTCTGTAGTTAGTAATTTTTATATGTGTTCATTAACTACTTAAGTTTTCCAAAAATCTAAGAAAGTTAAAACTGGTTTTTGGATTGACAAAATGGAACCGAATATGAAATTATAATGCACATATTTTTCTGTGTGTAGACTGCTCTTTGGGGAATTGAAACACATACACACATTTCCACACACCCACGGTACATATCGACATGTCTCTTTTCCTCCTCCCCCACGCTCCTCTTGTTGTGCTCAAATTTCAGCACTTCATTCAATTCGCAATTCGTTTCAACAATTGAAATACGATTAGCGCCAAGGTGCGCAAAGCAGCGCAGGGCTGGGGCAGGCTAGGAATAAATACATATCGCCTGGGGGCTCCGCTCTGTTGGGGAGGGGCTTGGCAAAATTTTTTTGATTTATGTGAAATTGAGTTAAATTCGCTTCACTCACATATACATTCACATATCCCGTGTATTCACTGTAATCCCATGCTTGGGCGGGCGCGTTCTAATCAAGACTATTCACTGGCCATAAATCAAATTAAATGCCTGTCACATATCGCTGGGAGCCAGTATCACAGTTGTTGTTGTTGCAGCTAGCTGTCAGCCAGGCATAATTAAAAGCTAGAGAATAATGGGGGTAGTCTGCAGATTTCAATGCCGCGCCAGATAAAAAAAAAACAACTAATAACTGGCATTAAATCTTTAAAAAGCTGCGAAGAAAATTACACATATTAGTGAAATTTCGCTATTCAATTGAAACAAAAACTGGAAAACTTAATATGCCACTTTTTTTTATTTTTATAAATTTTGAAATAAACTGCAAATAAACTGCAAGCCAGAGTGTGATCGTCTTTAAACATGACAAAAGATGTTTTATGTGTTTTTGACTGGACAACAAAGTCAGCTCGTATTTCTGCAAGAGACCAAGAGTAATAATTATATTTAGTTTGCGTATGTTATTTAAGCCTTATTACCAATGTCCAGCTGAATATGGTAAAGTTAAATGTTTGGTTTCCTTGAGCACTTGGAAATCATTGAAACCCTCAATATATCCCTCACCAGTAAGGGGATTACCACCTACGATTAAGTTTACCATTAGTATCATAATAGATATTATTATCATAGATATGGTTATATTAGATATTATGCATATGGTTTCAGTACTCGCCTCGGTCCTTGGCCGTCTTGGGCTTTAGACCACCGACACCATCCCCATTTAATCCAGTGCCAGTGATGGGATTACGAGAGCCCATCATGTACTTGTTAGTGTATGTCTCATTCGTTGACTTCGAAGGCTTGAAATTCTCGTTCTTAAAAGCCTCCTTGGTCTCAGGTGCGGCAGCAACCTCCTCAGCAGCCTGCCCATCTGCCGAATCAAAATCTGGTCAAATATTTTAAGCTCGATTAGACGTATTAAGTTAAAGTCAGACACATTTACATTATGCATTTACTCACCGTTCATATTGTTTTTTTTTACTAAAGTAAAATCTTTTATTGTGATTTATATATGTTAATTTGTTCGAAAACAAAAAAAATCCTGAATATCTTTTGTTCGTAAATTTTGTTAGCTGTGTGCTCCAGTCGAAAATAGAGCTATTACTAAAAATAAATATATGTTGCTGCCACACGCTGTAGACAGTTAAAAGCAACGACTACTTTTTCGGTCTGTAAATAAAACATTTTTATATTGAATAATTGCGAGGAACTGTCCAAATTTAATTGGTCTACATTGGAAAGCATTCGTTTTAATAAAAACGTATATATTATTTAATTAAATTGAGAGAAAAAATATCATTCCATAAAAATAAATGAGTTCGTGTTTTAAATTAGAGAGTGCAACTAAAAGTGCCACAGATTTGATAGCTTTAAGAGCAAATAAGTTAGATATACATATATATTAGACCAATATTTTTTCACTTTTTGCATTAGCATATCAAAGAGGTAGCTGAACATCCCATTCTCTTGCTTGCACCTTGCTCCATTTGATTAGCTGCAACATATTGTGGCCTAGAGTGATAAGCAGCTGTCACTTTTGACTTTTTTGCCAGCTGCCTCCCACAGAAGTGCTACCACAAGCTGCAAAAGCAGCTAATTTACAGTAGCAGCCTCTTACCCGTTAGCATTCGAAATCCTTTTGACTTCAAAGAAGAACTGTTGTTTGGAGTGCGTACTCGCTTGAGGGGTGGGCTCGCTGGATGGATGGATTTTGTTGGGGGGTGGGCGGTGGTTTGCCCATCAAGTCCAACAATGTTGCCAAACACTTCATGCGGTAGGCAGCCGGGCAGGCTCGTCTTTGACACTGTCAAACGTGCTCCCGCTTCTAGTCCCTATCCACTTTCGGCTCTCCGCTCTCCAGCTGGGTCCAGCTCCAGCTTCCACTTCAAGTGCATTTGTTTTTTGGCTTTTGTTTTAATTGGCTTGCGCTCCCCGACTTGAAGGAGTCGGCATCCCCGCATGCCGAACAATTTCCAGCTGCTGCACCTCCACCTAAACTACATGCCCCTCTCTTCAACTCGCTCATTAAACATTTACTCGCAACGCTTTGTCGGCGTGAACTTTGATGTTGACTTTGCTAGCACGGCGTTCACAGGACAACAGGACCAGAGGACTACCACTCACCCCAGAGCGAATAACACCCCTACGCCTTAACTCTTACCATACGCAAAAGAGATAACCACTTGAGATTGCATCTCTCGTTGCTTTTGCCTTCAGCCTTCAGCTCATTCCCCGGATCTCTCGTTTTGTCTCGTGTCTTGTGGAAAAAAAATGAATTTTGCCGCATTTCGTGGACGCCTGCGGGGCGGGGAGAGATGTGAATGTGTGTGTGAGTCCCTTAGTTCAAAGCTCGCTTGTATCCTTGCTCCTGCACGCGTCCTGTTTGGTATGCTGCAACTGCAACTGCATCTCCACAGGTTCCTCTCCAGTTTGCTGTTGCTGCTGCATTTTTTACAAAAAAATTAACATGAGATTTGTGGAAAATGTTGTTTACCGTTTGAGCCGTTTGTCGGCTTTCTTTTTGTAAAACTGACTTTGCAGTTAACAGGAATACACTTATAATAAAATGCATGTGTGCTTTAAGTAACACACACAATGTTATTTTTCTAAATGAAATATATGGATGGTCGGCATAGATTTCTTACCCCATTTATTCCACAACAACATATTTCTGCAGCCGTCGGAAAGTACTTTCTTTACACAGAGAAGAAAAATGCTTTGTAAAATCAATTTTACGTATCTTGATTAAGGATTTGTTTTTATTCAAGTGCGGAAAATTATAAATAATGAAGTTTAAGCTGAAATTAAGATTAACCATCTGAAATTAGACATGCGTTCTCAAAAATGCTTTTCGCCCTGTTTGGATGTTGTTTGGATGTTTGGAGAAATTTTACAATACTTTAAGCAATCTGATGAGTGCGAATAAGATAAAATGAGCAGCTTCTACATGTCATAATGATGAAACATTTTCATTTGAGTAGTGGTTGGATGGAAAAGTATGATACGAAGATGAATTACAACATTGTAACATTTAACGTAAATCATGAAGAAACTGTTGAATTTTTTATAACAAGCCTTAGATTTTAGTCTTAGCTTCAGAGATATATCATTGTCTGTTTCACCCACACTCTCGACTTCTTTTTTGGCAATGCTGGACTCCTTTGTATAGAGAACTGAGTCTCTTTTCTCTCTCTCTCTCTCTCTCTCTCTCTCTCTCTCTCGCAGTGTGCAAAAACCTTATCGTTGATTGCTGGCCAATTAATGGAGCAACTGTACCTGCCGCCCAACCAACAACTACCCACTCCGTACTCCGCACTCCGCATTCGCCATGCCCCCATGCAACACTCCACTGCACTGGCACAAGTTGCCTCGAATGCCAGCAAATACAATCAAAATTAAAACGCACATGTCATAAATCAAAGGCTTTTTGCCCGCAACTAGCAACTAGCAGCTAAACAATGCAATAGAGTCCCCAGTTGGGGGAGAGGCGAAGAGAGGCACAGGAACCACTAGAAGTCGAGTTGAGTTTGGCATTGTCATGCTGTCTATGGCTGTGTGTTGTCCTGTGGCAAGCGGCAAGCGGCAATTCACTTAGGCCCCGCTCACACCACTCTCAACGCTCAATGCTCAACTTGGCATCGTTTACACAGCCATTCAGAATGCTACTACCTGTATTTATGGGTTTCCACTGGGCTTTTATCTGGCAACAGCAGCAGTAGTTACATTTCCATTCATGAAAATTTTTCATTCACTTATTCGCATGTCTCTTTCCCTTTTTTTTCTTCTATTCCAACCCGAACCGAGTTGTTGAGTGCTTGATGCCATTTGTTATTATTGTCTTTGTTGTTGTTGTTATTATATCAGTTGCATTTTAAGCGTTCATTTTTGTAAAGTTGGAGAATCTCCATAAAGAGCGCCATTGTTAGCATATGCTCGCTGGCTTTGTTCCTTTGATCTTTGGCCAAGTGAAAGCGATTGCAGGCTCCCCTAAAGATAGTATACACACATACATATATATATATATATATATATATATATGTATATATATATATAGTTGCACTCTTCACTCTTCTTGATGCACTGCCAAAGTTAATTGCAAGGCCTCAAAATCACATACGCTTTTTTTTTTTATCCGCAGCTCGTCTTTGCCAGCTCTAATTAAAAATGTATTTTTTTCACTCTATTTTTTACATTTTTCAAGAGCCTTTGCTGCTGTTGCACTTGTCGCTAACTAGGCGCAATTAGAATAGGCACAGTTGAAGGCTATCAAAGGAGGGGGTTTCTATCTTTTCGACTAATAAGTGTAGATGATGGATAAACAAGAGAAACTGGAATCTGAAGGACACTCTGCGTTGGGCCTGTGTACAAAGCCTAATAAGTCTGTTTAAGCTTTATTGGTGAACGGCAAAGTCTTGCTAAGCCTTCTTCAACTTCATTATTCAATGGCAAAGTCCTCAAATTCAGGTCAAAAATTCTTTAATTCTGTGTAATTTATATTTTACTTGCAATTGCTTAAGAACTAATTTTGCGATAAATTCTTTCTATATCATTCTTAGAGTTTACTTTTGATTCACTGACGTTACTAATTCAATTTTACTTATCGAGCTCACTAAATCCACTTGCCGTTTTAAAAACATTATTTAACAGTTTTTGCCACTGATTTCCATTTTGTGAGCCTTGGCGATTATGCAATGAAAAATGATTACCAGATTATTGTGTTGACAGCGGCTTTTAGTCCGCAATTTCGTTGAATTCAAATGCTTAATGCTAATGTGTGCCATTAATGAGATGCATGGACAACAAAAACAATACACTTCCCACACAACACACACACGCAACACACACACACACACTGACACGATGCGTGTGTGCTTATTAAATCATTTATGCAGGCCTTATACATTTTCATTAAACTTTAATAAATTGCGGCAGGCAGCAGCTGCTTGCCAGTGACTCCTGAACTGAGTCCTGCTGCTCAAGCTTGAGTCCTGTTTGCTGCTGCTGATGCTGCCACTGCTGCCACTGCTGCTACTGCTGCTGTTGCAGCCTGTTGTCAGTCAGTGATTATGTAAATATTTCAACACAAATTAAAATCAAAATTAAAATTACAAAAAGCTGCCGCCAGGAGTTGCCCACACAGGCAACACATGTTCCCAGTTCCTTGTGGTTCTATTTGCAGCCACCCCCCGCACCCCTTAGCACGGTCATGCCTCTTCGGTGCCTAACACTTTGCCGCATCGTTGCCTGCTTAGGCGCATGGAGTAGAAGAAGTTCTCTGTGCCACATCATACCACCTACCCCTTGCCACGTGTGTGTGTGTGTCTTGTGGGAAATTTAAATAAAGTCAGCAGGCAATTTATTTGCATTAACATGTTGTCTCTTTCTATGGGAGTGTGAGTGTGTATGTGTGTGTGTGTGTATGTGGGTGTGTGTGTGCTTGTGCCGTATGTTCCTGTATGCAAATTTCAGCGACTGCTGTCAGCCGTTTGTCGCTTTGTCGCATTGTCGTTTTGTCGCTGGTCGCTTCATTGAATTTTGCCATGCAATAAAATCAAATTGTTTAAAAACAGCGTCCATGGCAATGGCGACAACAACAACAGCGACAAAAGTAGCAGCAGCAGCAGCCGTTGCAACATCAATGCAAGCCGACCGCGCCCATTTCCACTGAGCCGCCCACATTTGTCCATTTTCTGATTTATTGCTCGGTTACAGTTATTTTTTATTTTTATTTTGTCCGCCTGCCTGAAAGTATGCTACGATTTTTATTCACATTTCATTTCCCACTATAAATCAAAAGCACCAACAAATTGCTTGTCACATCCATGTTATTGTTGGAGTTGCGCTTTTACTTGCCGCCACTGTGTTTAATCATTAACGGCACTTTTTTTCGCTTAATTTTATTGTTATTAATTAATCAGTGGAAATTGTTAAAAGTCGCGAGCGAGTAAAAAATAAATAAAATGTAGTAAAATTCGCGAAACATATTCGAATTTGAAATGCTCTAGTTAATTAAACAAAGATGGGAGCGGAAAATAATGTGAAATAAAATTATACACTTTTTGTTAAGAAATTGTGCAAAATTAATTTATGATTTTTACAATTTCTCGTATTTTATAAGGATTTTTTAGCGACCCCCTGGCACACTAGCCGATTGAACAAATTTCAATTTCATTATGAAAAAATTGGCAAAATCAGTGAAGCGAATAGATCCTACAATTTCTGGACTTACAGAAAGTTGGACTGTTGCAGTAAATATGCGAAACAATTTCATTCTCGTTCTCGTTGCGACAGATCCAACATGTGCATTCTTAAACATATTCAACTAGAAAATCTTTCTGGCCGATTCCAATAAGAATTATTTTTCAATAATCTTAAATCAATAATAGTTTTCCCTTAACGAAATCATTGCCAAACCAATTGTATCCAAATTATACCCTTAATTTAAATGGCGTGGTTAAAAAGGGGATTGGAATTGTAATAAAAATCGTATTTCCGCAGTTTCAGCGCCAAATGTAAACACAATATTCAGCTGACAACGGGCTGAAAACAGAACTTATTGTTTATAATTTTTATAATTTTAATTAAATAAGTCGACTCTGACTGCAGCGAGCGTTTAATTAAGCACCAACTGATGATGGCTCACTTGCCAGTTGCCTTAGTTGAATGGGGTGAGGATGTAGAGCTGCCCATCAGTTTTCATTTGGACAATGACAATGACAATGAAGCACTTCCTTGCTGAGAGGCAAATTATCTGACAACATCATTATCATTATCATCATCATCAAACAAATCAAATCAGAGTCAAGAGCTACGCCCACAAAGAATCCCGTTCACAAATGTCAAATATCATTTAACGGCATTTGCACAAATCATTACGATTAACAAATACATATGCACTTAAGAGGCCACTTCACACACACACTCAACACACTAAAAACAAATGAGCTGCTGAGGGGCAGTCATAGGGGGTTGCGTGTTGGAGGGGGCAGGCCTTTGAGCTTTGTGGACAGATTTGTGGCGTGTGTAAAAATGCTAAATAAACAGCCGACTCAGTCCGGATCGTACAAAATGATTGAGTGCACTTCATGGGGGCCGAACAATGCCACATGCCCCGTGCCCCCTATGCACCCCTTTGCTCCATTCAACTCAATCGGATAACTCAATTCGCCGCCACTTCATGGTGTTTAGTTCTTCACGCCAAAAGCGAAAAAAACGCGCTGTTTTCAATTTGACTTGAAGCGCCTCATAAAAATGGCAAATTGAGTGCCGCCCCCGTTGAGTTGCAATGCCCCCCCGCCTGACACCCTGCCTCTTCCACCTGCAGTGTCTTGCTGCTTTTCTTTTTAACTAATTGCTCAACACGCTGGCCATAATTATTTTTTTTTTGTTTTATTTTTGGCGCATAGTCGCAATGGGTTGGTAAACAAACAAGCTTTTGGCCATAAAATAGCGTGTGGTAGCAGTAGCATCGAATTCCTTCTGAATCATGGCAATATCATCCAGTCTTTGGCTATTTTCACAATTTTCTCACTCTCTCGAAAAACATATTTCTAATTGCAATGCAAACAAATTTCTGTGCACCGCAGGTGTTCCACAAAAATTTTCGACAAATTTTCGATGCATGAATGAAATGAATTGTTGGAAAAATATTTGGCCAACAACGATTGATGGTGGCTATTAAGAAACTGTGTGCAAATTGGGAGCAATAACTTAAAGAGACCTCAAAGATATTGGAGGAAACAATAATTTTGACTTATTCAACAATTGTTATATCCATTAAAACTGGCTGACATTTTAATTCAAATATTTTTTATGTTATAAATAATAGCCCAAAATGAAGAGCGAATATCTCAATAATCAAGAATATGTTTGTAAAAATATGTACAAAGAAAATAGTTAACTTTGTTCAATATTGTAAATTGGAGAATGCAATTTATATAAATATTAAAATCGACTGAAATCTTAATTCAGAATAATCATATATAACTTAAAAATTCGAATTGTGATTTTGAGACTGAATGGCTGAGAATAATTCTGCACGCAAGTTAAGTCAATTGCATTTTTGCCGTTTACAGGTCCACTTCATTGTCCGCTAAATTAACCAATGTCGGTGGCATTTTTCAAGAGGAACAACAACAACATTTGACCCTTCAGGTAGCCAAACTGGCTAACCACAAGTGAGCCGGCCGGCAGGTCCTCCTGGTAAATGACATTTACAATATACTTGCCACATTGCCACTGTTTAGCCACCACCCCCTTTGGGCAGCAAGGGAGCTTGTGGAGGGGGGTTCGCTTTGTTTTTGTGTACTTGGTTTGTGTAGCTTTCGCTGCTTTCTGCGAGAGCAGAGAACACGGAAATGAATCCCAAAGCAAAACGCATGCGCAGTAAATGTTTCATATTCCCCTTGTGCCCAGCTCAAATTTGAAATATTAATCTACAGCTGAGTGTAGCACAAGTTGAACAAATGAATACAAATATTAATTGAAATGAATTTTTCTTTTTATTAATTTGCACATTTAATTTGCACAAATACTTTGGTTAGTTCAAAATTAACGGTCGCAAAACGCGACGAGTTGGCAGCGCTGGCAGGCACCAATTCGCAAACGTTTCAATTGTGACCGGCGCAGTCGACAGCTGTTGTGACGCGCTCTCTCTCGCTCTCTGTCGCTCTCTCTAGCAGTCGCTCTCATTGGAGATGTGCACAAACAAACGAAGGCGGCCCCGCTTGGAAAAGTCGCCAGAAATGTCAGTTAGCAAGTGGAAATCACCGGAAAAACTACAGAACGCGGCAGTTAAACCGAAAGCGATTAGCAAGCGGCAAAACAGCAGAACAGCAGCGTTTCTTTGGCAGCAGCGTTCGTTGGCTGCACTGTGTTTTGAAGAATGCGCGAATGCGAATCGCGACAGCGCAGCGGCAGCAGCAGCGGCGGCGGCGAATGCTGATAACAAAGCGTACGGCGTGTTAATAACAATAACAAAAAATAATAATAAGAACGCGTTTAATTAACAGACAGTGGACAGCAAACAGCGCAGTCGGCGTCAACGTCAGCGTGGGAGTTAACAGTTAACTCCAGGAAACAGAGGCATCAGCAGAATCAGCAGCAGCAGAGAACTTGTCAAACTGATAAAAGCTGCATTTGATTGCAATTTTGGCGGCATTTGCAAACCGAACGGCGGCGAACGCGCAACGCAAAAAGAAATCAATAATAAACAAAACAAGCAAAAACGGTAAACGACAAAAGCTTCTGTGTGTGTGCTTGCATATGTGTGTGTGTGTTGCGTGTGTGTGTATCTAAGTAGCTTGTGGAGCGCAGCTGTTTGATGAAAGTGAAGCAAAACTCATTCAAAGAAAATGCAAAAAGAAGCACAAACGCAACAACAACCAAAGTTGCACTTACAACAAGATAAATACAAAACTCGGAGCACAAAAACACCAAACACAAACAACACAAAGAGAGCGAACGCTAACGCTAACAGCGACGTCGACGGCTCTGTCGTCAGCTCAGACGACGAAATGAGTTTTTTTGCTGCTCTTTTTGTCGTTTTAGTATATTTACGAGACGAGTTTGCTACAACAACAACAACAATAAGAGACGTGCCAGACATGTCTTGTTGTTGTTGTTAGCTGTGCTAGCATGTCTGTAAAAAGTATCTAGATACTTTTCTGTAGATACGCTTTTATTTTCGCAGCTACTTGACGCACACACGACATTTTAAAGTTTGCCGGCAAAAATATTTTTATTTCGAATTTATAAAATGTATATTTTTCTCTCAGTTGCAACACATTTTAATGGCTAAAGGGCTTCTCCAGCTAGCGGTATTTGTGTGTGTGTGTGTGTGTATGCGCGCTGTCTCGCTTGCACGCGCTGGCAAACACTTTGGCACTCCACTTTCTGTCTGCTGCTTTAATTGAGTTAGTCTGGCGAGGCAAAAACAGAAGCAAAAGCACCAACAGAAATAGAAATAGAAATAGAAGCACAAATAGAAACAGAAACAGAAACACGCACGAATCCTTTTCCTTCAGGGCTGCGGCTTTAACCAGCAACGATTTAAGACTCACATAAACTGCATATACTGTATGCATGCATGTGTGTGTGCGTTTCTCTGTGTGTGTGTTTTCTTATTCAACGATAGAAATTTCGAAAAGCAAATAATTGGTTCTTTGAGCACCATATAAATCCATTGCATTTTAATTATATTTTCATTTATATCTTCCATTTTCATTTAATTACTATGCTAAGGCGCATATTTTCTTGTTCTTTATTTATTTCATATGTCTTTTACCTTCTTTGATATCTTTCAAATTTGCATATCTCTCGTATGTAGTTTCAGCCGCAGCCTCAATTTGATTGCCATAAGTTTTTTGTTATTTTATTTTGAGCAAACACTTTAGAAAGAGCCTGACAAACTCATTTTATTTTTAATTTTTTGTTTCGCTTTGGCTGGCTTGCATTTTGCTGGTATTTGATTGTGTGCCTTTGAAATATTTGGAATTTTTTGTATTAAATTGTCAGTGAAACGAGTTGTTCTGCACCCAGAATTTTGCCGCTGTTTACAGTGGCCAGTTCCCTGTTGCCAGTTGCCAGTTGCCGGTTGCCGGTTGCCAGTTGCCCCGACTGCCACGACTTCTGTGTGATGGCAACAATTCAAAATGTGAACTGCCAGTAAAACATGCCAAAAATCTGCGCATTTAAAATATTTGCCCCAGAGCCCATTGCGAGGCAGTCAACCGGGCAGCGGGCCTTAAATTGTTGTGCACCGTAAAAGGTGGCAGGGAAACGGTTGTGAGTTGGCGTTGGGGTTTAGCATTGCCAGCTGGCTCCGCCACTTGGCTGCGATTTGATTTAGTTGTTTAGCCTGGCGGGCCGTGCAATGCCGGTTGCTGTTTGCTGTTTTCTGGTTTCCTGGCTGCCTCCCTTTTTTTGTTGGCCACCAGGCTCACACCTGGCTGCCATTCGGAGCTCTCTGTTTATTGTTTGCTCTTTGGTCGCCGTTTGTTTTAGTATTTGTGTTTGTGTGTGTGTGTGTGTGAGTGTATGTGTTGCCACGTGCGTCTCCCATTTGTCTTTGGCTCTCTCTCTTTAGCCGGCTTTTGTTTCCCATTGTCTCTCTTGCAATTTAATTGCTCGACAATTACTAATCAATATACATGTGTATTTGTCTACAGGCTAACAAACTAAAAGAAAAACTATTACAAGCCATCAAATGGGAATCATAATTCCAACTAACTAACTAACTGTCTGTAATCTGATAATATGTAATATTTATAATAATAATCAGCAATTTGCAACAATTCCGTTCCGTGCCGTGCTAATGCAAACCGTATACGACCTGCAGTTAAATCTATTAACTTAACAATAAGTGTAATAACAATTAACAAAAAAAAAAAACCCACAAGCACAGAAATATATGCTACGTGGATTCCTTGAGGCAAAATCAACCAAAAAGCATTCAACATATATAAAACCGGTAAGCTAGGTTTATTAACTTATTTTTAAGAGTCTTTTATATACATTTAACGAATCTGTAATAATAATTTAAAAATAACAATAATGTTAATATTATTAAAATATAAATGTAAATAAATATAATATAAAAATTAGCAATTTTTTTTTTTTTGAATTTTTATTTCTACGCTTATCATTTATTCTAACTTGATAAATTTCCAATTATATTTGCTTCAACATAAATTATCTAAAAATTATGGAAATCTATGCGCCACAACTCATTCCCATTGCCTATTTTGGCAGTTAGTTAAGCAGCTCTATCAGTATATACAAAACTGGTAAGCTGCTAATAATTTGATGTTTGTATAAGGTATTTATAGAAATTCAACAGATAACAAAAACGTTAACTATTGACTTGTATATTATTTTCGATTACCCAGTAAAATTAGCTTTAGACTAATTTAGTACTTCCGTGTTCATTGAAATATTTCTGAAATTGCTTATCAATTCGTTTACCTTGATAACATATTACCACCTATATTTGTTACATTTAAACTGATCTGAAAAGTGGCTAAATTTGTGCGACAGCTGGGTAAGCTGCTCTGTCAAACCTAGCGATAATTTCCATGGGGCCCTAAGTTAAAGTTGCAGTAGTTTTATGTTGCTGTTTGTTGTTTGTGCAGGGCCCGGCTAGTTCATGTTTATCGACTTCAATTTGCTGGCAAACACTGAATCCGAACTCAATTGGATACCAGCAAAAGGGAGAAATTGGGACTTCATAGACGGGGCACTGGCAACGTGGCAGGGTTGGTGGCAGGGTTTAAATAATCCCAAACACCATTCAAGGGCAACTTTCACCAACTCTCGAGTGAAATTCGTTGCTCTGGCTGTGCTCAGTTCCCTTTTGCTGTTGTCAGTTGTTGTTGTTGTTGTTGGTGGTGGTGGTCATTGGAGCTACCGTCTGGCATTTTCATTTCGTCAGTTGGGCATTTGCCGCAGTGGTCGTCCACAGTGGCTGTTTTGTGGCACGGTCGCGGTCCGGACGTAGTACATACATACATCAGGCCAAGTTCAAATTTCCTTTTTTATGAGTGGCAAAATTGTTGCTGCCACTCTTCAAGTTCTTCTTGTTGTTGCTATTATTTTTGCTCGGTTTTACCGCCCCCTCCAAACGATGAAGGAAAATTTTGAAAATGCCTGCCAGCAGTAGCAAGGCAAGGACATGGCCACACACACACACACACGCACACACACAAAAACATACACACACAGCACATGGAGCATAAGCCGCCATTGACGGGCGTCGCACCTTCCACCAACCACCCCCAAAAAGCGTCCAAGTCCGTCGACCCGGGCACACAACATAACGATGCAGGCTCTGCGAGGCAGTCTCGCAACGTTTTCAACAATTTCCACATTTTATCTAACCACCCCCAAAGTGTCGACTGCAGCGTCGGCATCGGCATCGGCGTCGGCGTCGGCGTCGGAAAAAGGGAAAATTCTGCAGGCAAGCCAAGGCGGTAAGAGGAAAAACGTAGACATTGCAGACATTGGCGCTAGTATCTAGTATTTGCAGTTGTTAGCGATAACCTTATTGGGGTATACGATGACTTTGTTATCGACTTTGTTATGCATTAAGGGAGTATTCGAAAGAAACCATGCAGCAGTTGTAAGCAAGCCAAATCTTTTGTGAAAGATGTTTTTGTAATAATAATCCATGTCTCGATTGTATTGCATAATATATAATAAAAGAAAATATAAAATAAAAGATATAATAAGTATTAAAATATTAAATAGCTTGATATTTATTACAAAGTAACCAGAAAGCACCCAACCAGACCAAAAATTATTAAGTTGTAAAATGATACAGAATCAATTTTATTTTATACTGCACAACAACAATAAACAATAAAAGTCAATTAAACTCCTTGTAAATTCTTCCGTTAGAGCATTTTTGCTTCTTTTTTATATATTTTTATTTTTATTTGGTAAAGTTTCTTGCGGGCGAGTTTCTTTTGTTTTTTTGTTGCTGTTGCGGCTTGTTCTGGCTCTTTACCCAGACAAATCACACACACGCCAGATAAAAGAAAAGCGGAAAACGTGTTTAACATTTTCATCTAGCGCTCATTGCCACTTTACAGTTGGCAATTTTAAACAATTTCTCTTGTTGCTCTCCAAAGAGTCTTAACCCTTTGCACATGTGTGTGTCTGTGCACAAAAAGCAAACAAAAAACGAGCAAAAAGAAGTATATATAAAAAAAAACGAGAAAATTGTTTTTCTTTTGCTTTAATTTAGGTAATTTTTCTTTTGCTCGAAGAAAAATCGAGTTGTCGTTTTTTGTTGTTTTTTTTTTTTTTTTGTTGGTTCGAGTCCCCAAAATGATTTTTGGGGGTTGGTTTTGCAGTCGTTTTTGCCTTTGCCTTAGCCTTAGCCTTGTACTTTACTTTGTTGTATGTTTATGCGCTACGCGTTTTTCCCAAGATTGACTTTGACATTAGCCCCAAACGCACACACATACAGGCACACATACACAGACACACACACAGACACACACACACACACACATAGTCGTAGGACTAGGGCTATGCTCTCTTTGGGCGCTGCGGGGAGCTTCTCGCTTTCGACACGGTTCGGCGTCGTTTTTGTTGTTGTTATTGTTGTTCTTGTTGTTGTTGTCGCTGTCCGCCATGTTGTTTTATTTTAGCACATTTACGTCATAATGGCATTTCCTTCCGCTTGCTTTTTTCCTTGGCTTTCCTTTGACTTTTCCTCTTTCTCGGCTGTA